CTGCTCACATGATGGGTTTCAACTAGTTTCTTGGGCTTCGGCTGAAAAAAAAAGCGGGGGGGTTGGGGGGGGCGCAGCCCCCCCCATTTGCAAACACAATGCTCACACGATGTTTTTCAACTAGTTTCTTGGGCTTTGAACGGCTTAAAAGAAGCGGGGGGGGTTGGGGGGTCTGCGCCCCCCATTTGCAAACACCCTGCTCACATGATGTTATATGTATGTGTATATATATATATATATATACTAGATAGACTATATAATATACATCATATATAAATAAATATAAATATATATATATATATGTATATATAATATAATATATATATATATGTATATATAATATAATATATATATATATATATGTATATGTATGTATATATGTACATATATGTATATGTATATATATATATATGTGTATATATATATATATAATGTCTATGAGAAATACAACAAAAAGACTATATATATATATACATAAATATACTAATAAATACAAATATATGAATATATATTAAAATATTACTATAGTAATATATTCATATATTCATATATTCATATATTCATATATTCATATATTCATATATTCATATATTCATATATTCATATATTCATATATTCATATATTCATATATTAATGTATTAATATATATATATATATATATATATATGTATTAATGTATATTAATATATTAATATTAATATGTTAATATCATATTATACTGTATACATGTGTTTATCTTTGCAAAATTTACTTTACGTACTATAGGGTCAGGAGGCTCAGAGGCCCAGGAGGACCCGTGAAAGGGCGCCAGAGGACCGAGAGACCGCGGGCCGAAAAAGCACAGGACCAGCAGACCACGAGACCAGCAGACCGGGAAACCAGCCGACCAGGGGACCAGCAGACCAGGAGACCAGGGGACCAGGAGACCAGGAGACCAGCAGACCAGGGGACCACGGGACCAGGAGACCACCAAAAAAAAAAAAGTACCAAAACAAAAAAAAGTACCAAAAAAATAGGCCCTCCCTTTTGTGGCGCATTGCAGCGAAACCCCACGACCGTGAAGTTTCCTGCAATTCTGACCTGAACTCAGTTGCACAGCTGTCTAATCGAGGCCCTGAATCCCTTGGGATTCCTCCACGCAAGTTCAACGGGAGCCATTAGCCGGATGGATCAGAACCATGCAAGTTCAAGAAGGGGAGCCGTCAGCCGATGGTTAAAAGCCATGCAAGGTGGAGGCAAAAGCCGCAGGGTTACAAACCGTGCAAGTTCAAGAGAGGGAGCCATTAGCCGGATGGTTGAAATAGCCGGATGGGTAAACCCATGCAAATTCAAAAAGGGTGAGCCGTCAGCCGGATGGTTAAGAACCGCGCAAGTTCAAGAGGGGGAGCCCTTAGCCGGATGGTGACAAACCACCCCCACAAGTTCAAGAGGGGGAGCCGTTAGCCGGATGGTTAAAAACCATGCACGAGGGGGAGCCAATAGCCGGATGCTTAAACACCACGCAAATTCAAGGGGGGGGGGGGTAGCCGGATGGTTCAAAACCACGCAAGTTCAAGAGGGGGAGCCGTTCGCCGAAATGTGAAAATGGATTTGGCCCACAGCAGAAAACAATGGGCTTCTTCTTGGTCGTCGGCTGACGAAGCAACTTCTACACAGCAATTCGTGGCAAGCACTCGCCATTCCCTGGGACAGTGGCCGAACGTAGGTGTAATAATGGCCACCTGACAATTGAGTTCTCACGTGCCATTGCCATGCTGCCACGGCGTATTAAACCGACGAATCTAGGGCATCTGCTGTTGGCATCACCGCAGTGGACCACTACAGAGTGCAGCAGGTAGTGCCTCAAACGGAGCCCTGTTGGAGCATTGGACGAGCCCAAAAGCAAACCAACAGGAGCGGCTGAGGAGTTTTTTGGTTTCGGGCCCGGCGTTCGGCACGAACTCTTCAAGGTTCAGCCGTCGAGGAAACTCAAAATGGGTATTGAGTTTCACCTCATCGACATATTGGTTGACTCTGTTGACTTTGAAAACATGCAGCATCGGGCGGGCCATGTCCATTCTCTCCCTGTCAAAGTGAAAGCGCTTGAGCTGCACATTGAGGACCGGAGGGAACTTCACAAACCGGATGCCCTGAACAGGATCAATGGACAGGATGGAAGCATCTGCTCTGAAGGTTGTGTGATACGGTCCGATACGGTGTCATAGCATGGTCAACGCACTCACCGTCACTGCAGGACCATTCCAGCCCACGTCGAGGAACGAACATGCTACAGTGTCTCGGCCTTCTTTGCGCGCTGCTTGCCGTGGCCTTCCGCCTTCTTTTGCAGCTCATGCAAGAAACAAACCAGCAAGCGAAATCATCTGCGCCACCTGCCCGTAGCCTCGTAAAGATTGTCACCGTCGAGCATCTCATCCGCAGTGAAGTCTTTGAGGGACTCCTCGCGAGCCAGGTCAGCGGCGTCAGCAGCAGAATATCAGGTAGATACGTGCTTCAGTTTCGAGTGTGCACCAAAAAATGGCTCGCAGCAAGCCGCAACGACTCCCGCGCAACGCACGGAAGTAGCACCCATCCCGACCCACTACCTGCCCGCCCCCAACTTCCGCACCACAACCCCACCAAACACAAGGCTTGCTAGCCAGAGGATCTCATCACGATCCAGCGCCTATGACACTTTGCCACAGACACCAAAATTCTCCTGCACGAGCACCTTAAGCTGCCGAAGCTGATGGTACTACTAGTGCTACTGACGCGGCTGCGGCTGCAAATTTTGCGACCCCGGTTCTGCTGCGGAGGTGAAGCGTGATCCCCCAGTCCATGGTGCTTCCAGTGGCAGTCTATACGCACATGTACTAAACGTTTGGATTTGAAAGGATGGCTTTGTTGCAATGTCTACACGTTTGAGATTCCTGGGAGATTCCTGGGGAAAATTTCGTTGCAGTTTCTACACGTCCTGAGTTTCTGAGGAAGGTTTCGTTGCAACTTCTACACGTCTTGGATTCGCAAGGATGGTTTCGTTGCAATGTCTTCACGTTTGGGATTCCTGCAGAAGAAGACGCTGCAATTTCTACACGTCCTGAGCTTCTGAGGAAGGTTTCGTTATAACTTCTACACGGATGGCTCTGATGCAATGTCTGCACGTTTGGGATTCCTGTGGAAGGATACGTTGCAACTTCATACAACTTCTACACGTCCTGAGCTTCTGAGATCTTCTGAGGAAGGTTTCGCTGCAATTTTTGCACGTCTTGGATTTGAAAGGCTGGCTTCGTTGCAATGTCTACACGTTTGGGATTCCTGAGGAAGGCTTCGTTGCAATTTCTGCATGTCCTGAGTTTCGGAGGAAGGTTTCGTTGCAAGTTCTACACGTCTTGCATTTGAAAGGCTGGCGTCGTTGCAATGTCTACCCGATTGGGATTCCTGAGGAAGGTTTCGTTGCAATTTCTACACGTCCTGAGTTTCGGAGAAAGGTTTCGTTGCAACTTCTACACGTCTTGCATTTGAAAGGCTGGCTTCGTTGCAATGTCTACACGTTTGGGAGTCCCGAAGAAGGCTTCGTTACAACTTCTACACGTCCTGAGTTTCGGAGGAACTTGTCGTTGCAACTTCTACACGTCTTGGAGTCGAAAGGGTGGCTCCGTTGCAATGTCTGCACGTTTAGGCTTCCCGAGGAAGGTTGCGCTGCAATTTCTACACGTCCTGAGTTTCTGAGGAACTTGTCGTTGCAACTTCTACACGTCTTGCATTTGCAATGTCTGCACGTTTGGGATTCCTGAGGAAGGTTTCGTTGCAGTTTCTCCACGTCCTGCGTTTCGCAGGAAGGTTCCGTTGCAACTTCTACACGTCTTGCATTTGAAAGGCTGGCTTCGTTGCAATGTCTGCACGTTTGGGATTCCTGAGGAAGGTTTCGTTGCAATTTCTACACGTCCTGAGTTTCGGAGAAAGGTTTCGTTGCAACTTCGCAATGTCTACACGTTGGGGATTCCCGAGAAAGGTTTCGTTGCAATTTCTACACATCTAACTTTCGGAGGAAGCTTTCGTTGCAAGTTCTACACGTCTTGCATTTGAAAGGCTGGCTTCGTTGCAATGTCTACACGTTTGGGATTCCCGAAGAAGGTTTCGTTGCAATTTCTACCTATCTAACTTTCGGAGGAAGCTTTCGTTGCAAGTTCTACACGTCTTGCATTTGAAAGGCTTGCGTCGTTGCAATGTCTACACGTTTGGGATTCCTGAGGAAGGTTTCGTTGCAATTTCTACACGTTCTGAATTTCGGAGGAACTTGTCGTTGCAACTTCTACACGTCTTGGAGTCGAAAGGGTGGCTTCGTTGGAATGTCTGCACGCTTGGGATTCCCGAAGAAGGTTTCATTGCAATTTCTACAGTACACGTCCTGGGTTTCGGTGGATGGTTCCGTTGCAGCTTCTACACGTACACGCTTGGGATTCCTGAGCAAGGTTTCGTTGCAATTTCTGCATGTCCTGAGTTTCGGAGGAAGGTTTTGTTGCAACTTCTACACGTCTTGCATTTGAAAGGCTGGCTTCGTTGCAATGTCTACACGTTTGGGATTCCTGAGGAAGGTTTCGTTGCAATTTCTCCACGTCCTGAGTTTCGGAGGAAGGTTCCGTTGCAACTTCTACACGTCTTGCATTTGAAAGGCTGGCTTCGTTGCAATGTCTACACGTTTGGTGTGCTTCTCCAGCAGAGGCTGCTCAAGCAGAATGGAAGCTGGAGTGCCTTGCCTGCTGTACCCTTGGGGAGGTAGGTAGTGAGGAAATCATAGGCCACGCTAACGAGCACTGCAGTTCCTCTATGGTCTGGAGGTGGATTCCCTTTTCGTTCTTTATGTTCAGCTGGATGTCGTAAAACCTTGGCTGCAAGATGTTTACTCTTCGCGACTTGGAGCAGTCTCACAGTCTCACACGACAGCTCACGAGAATTCTGAGGGATCAAACGTTTCGCGCCTTTTGGAAGTGTAGTCGACCTCGGCATGACATTACCTGACACTCTGACTAGTTCTTGCTGCCGGAACCAATTGTGAAGCTGAGCCGCATCTAGACACTCAACGCGGTTCTCCATCTCGCCCTCAAACAGCCTAGTTTCCGGAGCTGAGACTTGCCAGAGTTGTGGACTGGATCGCATTGATTGCTATCAGCGGGAATACAGCCTCTTGATGGAATCACCCATGTTTGTGTTTCTCATCTGCTCCTGCCACTTGAAGGCCAGTCGGCTGGCATGACACAGACCTATTTTCATGAACTGGCCTCGAGCCGACCACACAAGATCCTGCTCAGCTCCTGCAGACAAAAGACGACCTGTGTTGGCCAACTGAGATTTTTCCCTCTGAAGTGTCCTGTACGTCATGCTGGGTGAACGCATCAGTCGTGTCCCAGCCGAAAGACCTCATGAGCTCCTTGCAACTCACGGCCTCGCAAATGCGGGCCGGGACGGCTCCTTGTGCATGACCCATTCGTTCCAAAGTCTCTCCCGCCTGCTTGGAGGTTTGCAGTCCGTAGAAGACGTTCTGCAGTGCCTGATAGCCGCACTCATTCTTCACTAGTTTACTTGCTGCATGTCGAACAAGACGCGGCTGTGCCTGGATCAAGGAAATGTCTCCTCACATGTGGAAACTCATGAAAGCATCTGCATGATTCCAACAGCCGTTTTGCAGCAGGCCTTCTGCATCCGTGTTGCCAACCGCTGCCGTCTTCCCGCACTCGATGGAATAAACACTTCGCCTAAGCCGAGGCTCAGCAATGACTGGGAGGTCAAGAGGAGACTGCCAGCCGAGCCTGAACTCTCCAACATGGAAAAGGGACTGAAGCAAGCTGCTCATGTAGCACCTGGTGTACAGAAGTGGGTGCGAATAGAGGCACGGAAGCGCAGCCTTATCATGCATTCCGAAGCTTGGGAATTCATCCCAGCGGGTATGGGCATTCAAACTCGCCAGGTCTACGTTGCGCCATGGTTCACCAAGCCGACGTAGCCGACGTAGCCGACTTCCTTCCTGGCCACACCAATTTCAGAGTCTGCAGCCGGGCACGATGCCCAATCACAACACGCAATCAAGCCACTCAGCGTTCCTACCCACCGTACGTCGGAGAAACGGCTGAACAAAGGTCGCAGCAACAGTCAAAAACAAAGAAAGTGTTGTTCTTGCTTAGCTTCGTCTTCTTTTGGGTTAGCTGAGCTGCGCTTGATTTCGTCAGATTTTTGGGCTTGAATATTGAGCAGGCTGCTCATCCTGCAACGGTCTTAACAGAATCCTGTCTGCAAGACGGTTCACTTGCGAGAAAACCGACACTCGAGCTGAGGCCATGACTACGATACATGTCTTCATGTGCCGAGAGCACGTTGGGAAACACAAATTCAGACCTAAATGGGGCTCCCAAACTGGCTGGGATCAGTGCGGGCGGAATTCCACAGACCTCAATACATCATGTATATATATATATATATATATATGTGCTTCCCCCCCCCCGGGAGATCTACTATTTTTACATACCTTTACTATCCAGAATCCCTTCCGATCTAGTCCCTCGTAACAATAACAGATCCTGAATCAACCCTAAACACCGAACCGGCAATTCGCCTCAGCTTCCTGCCAAGAAGCGTCTGGAGCAAGCAGACCCAAATCAGCCCTCCTTCCCCCCAACTCTGACGCCACCCGCCCCCCCCCCCCCCGCCCTATGGGACCCCGATCGCTTGGAGCAGCTGCAAACCGATACCTGTCTCCTCCTACAGGGCAGTGCACCACACACCCGCCCCACCCCACCCCCCCCCCCCCAACCCCCCCCCCCCCCCAACCCCACCCGCTCTGGGCCGGCCCGGCTGCCGAAGCGGCGCGTGCAAGCAATTAAGCCGGAAATAGTGAACACGTATTTGCTCACAGTATTCTCGCGTCCCCGGGGCTTACAGTACATGAGTTTTCCGCATCACCTTATGTGCTCGAATACTTCCTAGTCTTACGGTTCGCGGCTTCTCCATTATCTGTATTTGATATGCAATACATATACCTGCAGCGGGTACTTATTCTACTTCTCCTTTGCACTTCCACAGGAGGCAAAGACTACAAACATAGGCAGAACTCTATGCGATTTATGGTTTAGGATTTAAGCCCCAAGGTGGGTATAAGGTTCTAATCCTATAGAGAGTATACCGTTGTCACCCTAAACCCTATATGCTTCAAGGCTTAGGAAAACATGTAAAGTTTAAATCCCTGAAATTTTAGGGTTGCGTTTTGGCAGTGCCCCGAACCTCAAACTCTAAACCTTTAACCCCTCATAGCGTGTAAACCCTATAGGGCTAACCCCGATAGGGTAGATAAACCCTGAAAAACCTAACCCGAAAGGGGCCCTATAGGGTTTAAGGCTTGAACTAGTTTGAATGCCCAAGCCTAAGTTTAAATCCCCAGACCTTAAACCTTTAAAAGCCCTGTAGGGCTTCAAAGTTTTAATGCCTAAGCCTGATGTACCTAAGGTCTGGGCATTTACACCTTCAATAACCCTGAACCCTACATGCATTAAGCTTAAGGAAAACAGTAAAGGGGTTAAATCTCTGAGGATTTTGGGTTACGTTTTTGCAATGACCTAAACCTTAAACGCTGAACCTTTGACCCCTATAGGGTGAAAACCCTATAGGGCTGCCCCGAATAAGGTGGACAAACCCTGAAAAAACCTAAACCTTTAACCCCTAGAGGCTGAAAGGTTTTGAACCTACACCTTTAAACCTACAGCGTTCAAAGGTAAGCTATTCGGTTTAAATACCTAACCCTACAGGGACACTAAAGGGATTAAGGCATTAAACCAGTTTGAATGCCCAAACCTAGGTTTCAATCCCCAGGCTTTAAACCTTTACAAGCCTTATAAGGTTTAAAGGTTTTAATGCCTAAGCCTGATGTACCTAAGGCCTGGGCATTTATACCTTCAGCGTTATAACCCTCAACCCTATATGCTTGAAGGCTTAAGGAAAACACTAAAGGGGTTAAATCCCTGAGGGTTTAGGGTTACGTTTTGGCAATGCCCTCAACCATAAATCCTGAGCCCCAACCCCTGTGGAGTTAAAACAACCCTATAGGGCGAACCCCGATAGGGTAGATAAACCCTTGAAGAACCCTAAGCCTTTAGACCCTTCAGGGCTTAAAGGTTTTGAACCTAAACCTTTAAACCTATAGCGTTTAAAGGTAACCTATTCGGTTTGAATGCCTAACCCTATAGGGGCCCTCTAGGGTTTAAGGCTTAAACCAATTGGAATGCCCAAACCTAGGTTTGAATCCCCAGGCCTTAATCCTTTAAAAGCCTTTTAGAGTTGCGCTTGCCCCATGGCTACAACTAGAAGGTTGAGGGCCAGAAAGTTTCAACGGGATCTTGAATCCTGGATCCCGGGGATTTGAAGTTCAAAACCCCGGATTAATTTTCAAAACACCCCTGCCGATTGAATTCAATCGGAAACGAGTGCATTCAATCGGCCGGGATCCAAGATTTGAGATTCCAAGATGACTCGGCAAGAGTCCTGGGAAATCTTGGATCTTGGATCTTGGATCCCGGCCGAATGAATTCATTCGGCCGGGATCCGAGATTTGAGATTCCAAGATGTCTCGGTAAGATGGCGGGGGCACTTTCAGTGTGAGGCATATGCAATTTCATTATGAGGCAAACGGCTTTTGTTTCATTGTGACATTTCATTATGAAGCAGACGGATTTTATTTCATTGTTAAAGAAAGATGGTAAAACGGTAGATCTTTGAAGGGGGGGGGTACCATACATATATATATGTGTATATGTATAGAAATATGTATGACTATACAGGGCTGTGGCTGTTGATCAGGGAAGTTATTGTTCACTAGAAAGCGAGAACAATCAGAACATCCCAGGGATGGCAGTACTACTTAGCCTGAGGCACCACAGGTACAAGCCCACAAGTCCCCACGGTGGGCCCGACAAAGTGCCCTTTTTGCCCCTAATGTTCAGGCACCGGATGTCCAAAAACTGTAAATGGCCGAAGATTCAGATAACAGGCGTGTACATGTTTGCCGCCGACAGAATTCATTGAGAGAGTGCCTGTGCATTACCTGGCCGGCGCTTGGTAGGGAATGATGGAGTGAATCCGATAGTCCCCTCATATTCCATTATCTAAGACCCTATCAGCCATTCCCTCCTACTAAGCATCAGCCAGAAAGAAGAAGGACGGACAAGGAGTAAACAAGCGGCTAGGGTCTAGGGGGGGTTCCTTTGTCTACCCCCTGAGCCTGAATATATACACCCCCACAAGGGACCCCTGTTTTTGTAGACCTAACCAAGTAATTAATCAGCAAGGCTGGCTTCGTAATGGATGCGAAATATGGACGCAACAGGAACAACCATCAAAAACATCTGAGCAGGGCGAGTTTGGCAAAGTGGTGGACTGCGTGCACCTTACGGCCACGTAGCACCACAGGAACAAGAATTCCTAAACATCAGGGAGTGGAAATCACGGCAGTGGCGTTGCGACCGAGGGCAACGCAATAGGAACAAAAGGGCGCGTCCAAAAAAAAATTGCTTTGGCGTTCCCCCCCGTGTTCGCGAGCGTCGCGCCGGGGATTGGTGCTGGCATGGGGAGGGTTGTTTGGGCCCTGTCTGGCTCTTGCGCCTACAGTAGCTTGCGAAACCTGTGGTTTGCCTGAACTGACTCACCCGGCTTGAACTTCCGCCCCCACCGCGTGAACTGCACAACTCCCTATGAAGACAGAAGACGAGTATGTTTATATGTTTATATGTTTATATGTTTATATGTTTATATGTTTATATGTTTATATGTTTAGATGTTTATATGTTTATATGTTTATATGTTTATATGTTTATATGTTTATATGTTTATATGTTTATATGTTTATATGTTTATATGTTTATATGTGCATATGTTTGTACAAACATATATATATATATGTTTATATGCTTGCATGTATGTATGTATGTATGTATGTATGTATGTATGTGTGTGTGTGTGTTTACGTGTATGCATGTGTATGTATGCGTACGTGTGTGTATGTGTGTGTGTATGTCTGTGTATGTCTGCGTATGTCTGCGTATGTCTGCGTATGTCTGCGTATGTCTGCGTATGTCTGCGTATGTCTGCATATGTCTGCGTATGTCTGCGTATGTCTGGGTATGTGTGTATGCGTGTATGTGTGCATGTGCGTATGTGGGTATGCGTTTATGTGTGTATGTGTGTACGTGTGTATGTCTATGTGTCTACGTAGTATGTGTATATGTACACTGCAGAATGTGTACTTGTGCTCAAGGAGGCTCTCGTGCTCGAAGCAGGTCAAACGGAAGCACCACCACAAGCTGCTAAAACTTGCCCAATCAGCATAGCACTGAGGTCGTTCAAGGTCACATCGTTTGACCTTCTTGCCTGCGCAACACTTGGTTCAAAGAGGCCACAAGCACATCAGTAGTGTAATTCTGTTATCTGCTCTTGCTCGCTGGCTAGATCCTATGGGCGTCTGACAGCACGAAAGCCTGCGTACAGGCAGACGCAGTGTCCACAGCCCCTAGCCTGTCTGCTCTGTCTGCATGACGACCTGGTGCGCTCAACAGAACTGCAGCGGGAGAGCTCGGATCAACGGCTGTCAGATATCAGTGCAAAGCTTTGCACATCCATTTTACGAATTCTGGCAGCTCCATGTTGAGCCAGTCTCTGGCAAGCCGGCTTGTTCCGGCACAACTTGCGCTGTAGACGTTCGGCGGCTTAGAGCCTAGTTGACAGTGCAGAATCATGAGGATGGGCTTTTCCCAGCCCAGCAAATGACATTCAACAACACATTGCCTCACAGAAACATCACACCGCACTGGATGTGAATCCCCAAGCCATCCTTTGGCGATGTGCTCCAGTCACACGTGTTGCCTTCACGAATCACATGGCTTCAGCTTCTTTGCAGGCCGCCCCTCATAGGCTCTGCAACTGTTGCAGAAAGCATCTTTTGAACGCTGCCGCTTGCAATCTGGGAGTGCTTGATATGCTTCCTTCATGACCGGGTGATTCATCAAGTCCTCCGCGGCCGCCAGACGGGCTTCGCATGCCCGCGGCCGAGTTGCCACACAACATATCGCCCCAAATGAATATGAAACTTTGACGACCCATCTGTTGAGCGTTTTGCAAAACACAGTGTGCTCAGTCGTCTCAATGTGCTCGCCACCAGTGAGCCTTCGCGGGACCAAGTTGGATGGTGGGGATGACAATAGCAACGCGTACTAACAATAGCAACACGTGCTAACGGGATGCGATGTCGCGCCTGCTGTCACTACAAAATCCAGGTGAAACCCATACGAAATTGCATCCCAAACATGGAGCTGTGCAAGGCGCCCTGCACCCATCTGGAAGACGAAGGCCTACATCACCTAAAGCATCCGAGATGCTGGTTAAAGCGTCGCACCTGGCCTACAGCATCCAGCTTCATTGCCATGATGCCTTGATGGGCGCACGAAGCCGCAGGCCCCCACGACATCCACGACCAAACTTCGAGTATCTCCGGCTTACTCAACCAAACTCTCCGCATATTCACTGGCCACCCCACTAGAAATCCATGCGCTAGTGTTTCGTCACCTGAAGGAGATGCGACAGTGTGGACTTGGGCCATTGCGGCTAAAGCAGCAGCAGATTCCATGCCACAAGCATGCTACCACGGCCAACGAGTGAGGAAGACAAATTGCCTGAAGCAGTGTCGGCCCGGGAAGACAGTCAACCGGAAACGGCGACGACCTGACAAGCTTCATAAGAGGTCACCAGCGCGAAAGCCCGTCGAGACCCTTCGCTGCATCAATACCCCTTGCCTATGATCCTCATTATCGGAGCAAGACCTGCAACTTGGTGACTTTGGTAGGAGGAAGTCAGTTTGCAAGTCCCTGTACAAGTAGACCTGTGAGTCGTCAACTCTGACCCTGTTACTGCGCACATCTGCCTCGGAGTGGAATCTGGCACCGAATCTGTGACAGGATCAAGACACATCCTGGGCACTATAGGGCAGCAAAACCAAGCACCAACAATGCTACACGTCAACAAATCAATGCAGGTGACGTCGCAGACCGGACAGCCCGAGGCATCTGCTCAAAAGCATCCACAGCACCGGTCTGGCAATGGATTTGTGCTTTGAAAGTCATTCATACTTGCAGTTCTGAGAAAAATTTCCAGAGCCGAACAAAAGCCCACGACGTCCAAAAACCGGAAAGAACGGCAAAAACTATCTCGCGAGCATCCACGTCATCAAGTCTTGCCAGCGAGGCCCGGAGTGAATAGGAGTGAATAGTAGCGGGCGCTACTGTCTTTCACAGCTACAGAGCTACCGTAGTGGTCTCAGTGGTCTATTCCTGCACTCGTTGAAAAAGTGCTCAACTCGGGACTGGTACACCGAAGTCCCCAAAGGGCCACCCTAAATCAAGCTACGCAGTGATACAAAGTCTGAGGCTTCCACTTGACCAGTCGACGCAAAGCACCCGTCCTGTCACATAAGACTTCATTGGACACTGTGCAACGGACGACAAAACACCTTCGGCACCGTCAAAAGGAAAGGAGGCCAAGCTCGGCCAAGCTCTGCACGCGGATTCGAGAGCTTCGAGAGCTTCCACGGCACAATTTGAACGCCGCGGCTCCTGGCAGCTGCCCACCGAAGCGAACATGTCGCGCGCGATGCGGCCTGGCCAAGGCATTTGAGCTGCTAAGAGTCTGTCATATCGCGTCGCTGCCCTCTCTGATACATTGGCTGTCACCTGCCGCAGCGAGGTGGTCAGCGAGCGCCGCTGCCCACGTCGCCATGCTGAGCTCAGGTGTGCCAATGGTGTGCTCACTTTGGGGCAAAACCAGGGCAAAGCTTCCAGCTTGAGCACGCGAAAAAATGCTTCTGGGGACGAACCTACTCTCCACACTGTCATAGGTGCTTCAGCAGGTCGCCTGTAGTTGCATAGCTGCTGAGCCAAGAATGATTGGTCCTGGTTTTCACAAGACAACCTTTTGAAACTGCTGGTATCGACTTGAAGCCTGTCACGACAACCGCAGATCAAGGAGGCTAGAGGACTTAATTATGCAGCCTGTAAACAGATGTGCACTCTGCGAATCACGGTTCTTCCTCTCCTCCTCCTCCTCCTCCTCCTCCTCCTCCTCCCTCAACGAAAGCAGCCACTCGATGCTCGACTCGATCGTCCAGACAGGCTCTAAAGACCAGGAGACCGGAGAGCCGCTGCGGGGCTTTGGTAGGATCGATTCGTACTGCTGCTCTTAGGGCCGATTTGTTACGGCCAAGAGTGGGCCAGAAGAGCCACCAAGACCCAGCAATACGATTTGTTACGGCCAAAAGTGGGCCAGAAAGAGCCATCCAGACTCGACAGCACGATACGGCCAAACGTGGGCCAGAAAGAGCCACCAAGACCCAGCAATAGCCAAGAGTGGGCCAGAAAGAGCCACCAAGACCCAGCAATACGATTTGTTACGGCTAAAAGTGGGCCAGATAGGGCCACCAAGGCCCGGCAACACGATTTGTTACGGCCAGGAGTGGGCCAGAAAGAGCCACCAAGACCCAGCAATACGATCCGTTACGGCCAAGAGTGGGCCAGAAAGAGCCACCAAGACCCAGCAATACGATTTGTTACGGCTAAGAGTGGGCCAGATAGGGCCACCAAGGCCCGGCAACACGATTTGTTACGGCCAGGAGTGGGCCAGAAAGAGCCACCAAGACCCAGCAATACGATTTGTTACGTTCAAGAGAGGACCAGAAAGAGCCACCGAGACCCGGCAGTACGATTTGCTATTGCCAAGAGTGGATCAAAAAGAGCCACCGGACCCGGCAGTACGATTTGTTATGGCCAAGACTCTTTCTGGCGCACTCTTGGCCGTAACAAATCGTATTGCCGGATCTTGGTGGCTCTTTCTGGCCCACTTTTGGTCGTAACAAGATATATTGCCGGGTCTTGGCGGCTCTTTCTGGCGCACTCTTGACCGTAATACATCGTATTGTCTGGTCTTGGTGGCTCCGAGACGAAATGCCAACGTGTATGCCGCATTGCGAATCTCAAAAAAAGGATGGTCTTCTGCCCCTCGACAAACGCCATTCATGTGTTATTTGCTGGCAGTGCTTGTACCCCAAGGGTATGGGGTTGGGGTTTTTTCGGTTTCCGCAAATAGGGAGTACCGCTTGTGGTCCTTGTCATAATAGGTTCCTACTACTTGGGGGTCTACATGAGGTGTCCTTTCTATCGTAAACCCCCATTTCCGGTCTGGCAGGCATGGCAGCTGGCAGCAGACCGTCATCGGTTTTGCCGTGTCTTGAAAGTGTCTGCGGCATTCATTGAAACGAGCGGGTCAGCGAATTGAGTGAGCATCTTGTGTGTGCACAAGCTACACTCTCCAGTGAAATTGCACGTTGGCGCCAGTTGCGAGAGTCTGTCTGGCTGCCGACGTGTCCAGCTATGTACAAGTGCGAAATTGCAAATGTCAAACGCAAAGCGAAGCCCTATTCAGGGCCTTTTTTCCAGTAGCCTGAGAAACCAAGGAGGCTATAAACCCTAAACCCTAAACCCTAGACCCCTAAACCACACCCTACAGCAGTCATAACATGTCATTTTATCGTATGGCTTGCGTGGGCTCTCTTCGACGCCTAGATCTGCTGCAGTTCCTCAGTAGAAGTCTTCGACGGTTGTTCCGTCACCTTCCTGAGCAGCACAGATTGCTCTGTAGATCCAACCCCCGATTTAGGACCTGACAAATAGGGTTCAGCCTTTAAGGCTTTTAGAACGACCTCATGTTGCACTGTCTTTGTTATTTTCGGTGTTTTCTCCGGTATATTACCTTGCGTGCCTTGCGCTTTCGGGAGAAAGAAGGACTGCTATTGGGACAACCTGAGGTTCCCGACACATGCGACTTGAAACTAGTTCGTATCCTACCGATGATGCATGAACCCCCCCCAAAAGAAGCAAGACCACACAATAAGCAAAACCACAGGGTTTGCGACTAGTGTGTTTCAGTGAGACATGCGTGGAAAATCTATACGAGTACCCTGAGAAAACCTAAACCATTTTTCCTGTTATCATAGGGTGCCTACCTTTGTAGATTTCGATTTGTGTTCCTTCATGCAGGGTTGGTTCAATATGCCTACTTTCTTGTTCAGCCATCAAAACCAAAAATACTTAGCCAGATGTTCTGCGACATCATGGTTTGTGAGAAAAACTTTCCATAACTACCGATTTTGTTTTAGAATATGTAATTTGCGTTGCATGTCCGTCTAGTCTTTCGGTAATCAATGTACAGTAGTTATTTCGTGATTCATTTTAGTTTCCTTTGCTTCTACAACAGGTTCAAGCACGTTGTTTGATCGAATTTTAAGTGAGTTTACGCACGTAATGTTTTTGTGTTCAATCAATCCCTTTGTGCTTGGTGCATGTTTGAATCTTATCATTCAGCATTCTAATGTTGCATTGAGGATGTACTCAGCAGTCACTCCCATAGCTTGTATATGCATCTCAGATATATTTATAGAATTGTGAAAAATACTGCGGCTTCCCAGATGTTTCTTTGTAAAACACAATGTGTTTCCCAATATCCACAGAAAGATGAAATGCCTCTGATAACCCACTTGCCCTCCGATAAGAAAGACTTAGAATCTGTATTCATCCACTCCCCTCCCCCCTAACGAACAAGACGTGGAATCATAGTAGTCTCATTCTACTGGGTTCTATACATTCACTAGCTGATAAGTAAACAAGAATTGTTGTGGAAGTTGGTTTCCTCTGACTTCATTGAGTTGAGTAACATGACAAACCACAGAACGCTCTACGCCCGTTTCAAGCTGAAACGGATGTCGGTCCTCCACGACACGTTACACATTTGACAGAGACCAGGCCAGGAGCCCGGGCGAGGAGTACAACTGACTTAAAACCTAAAAATCCCACGCCGAGGATGGAGGAGACTAACCGGTGATCTGATTCCTGGAGCTACATCGTGGCTTCGACGCATTGCAAGCGATAGGCCTTTGAGCAAGCACGCTGATGCCGCCTCAGCGCGGCCACCAGCCTGGCCGAAACTGGCGGGTTGAGTGAGCGGCTTTGAAACTGTTTAGGGCTCCGGCTTTTCCCCACCCGCCTAGCTGACAAGCAACACTGCAGGGAAGCACAAGTGGTCCACGCGTCAGAAAAGCTCAAAAGCTCCTCGCGAAGCCACTGCCTCAACCTCTTAGCTTCAAAACCTGAATCCTTTTTCGGGTTGAGGGGTCATGGATTAAGCTTTAAAACAATCTGACTGTTTAGCAGGTTTTTGATTCAGGGGTTTCAGGGCAAGGGTTTGTAGTTTAGGATTTTGAGGCTTCTGCTTCAGGGGTTGTTTAAGATTTTTCAGAATTTAGGGCTCAGGTTGCAAGGTGTTTGTTTTCTTTTTTCCCACCCGCCTAGCTTGCAGAACGCAGCGCTGCATCTTAAGGGTTAGCCTCATAGAGTTTAGAGCTTTAGAGTTCCAAGTAGAAAGGCTGAGCCACTTTCCAGGCTGGTGCCTCCTGGCCTTTCATCAAAACGGAGGCCAGCGTAGGTCATGGGCTGCTGCACTGGAGCTGCGTGGATAGACATCATGAGCTCTGGGGTTGTTGGCGTCTCGCCCGGCTCGCGGTGTTGGCTCTCGTGTTGGCGTCGCCTCTCGCCTCGTGGGGGAGAGCTCTTGTATGGGAGCTCCCAGATCCTTCCGGACCTTGGGCAGCAGCTCACGCTGTCTGGTCGGTGTGAACTCACGCAGGGTCGGTGTTGGCTGTCGCCTTGTGGGTGACTCTTCTCCATGTGCGATCAGCTCTCGCTTGGGCGTTGCGTCGCCTGGCCAGTACGAGTGCTGAAAGTGCAACTTCTTGCAAACACTTCAGCATGCAACCGTGCCATTCTGGTAGTCGTAGGGCCCAGGCACCACTTTGCTGAAGGTCCGCGGAGCCTTTCCGCAGTAGGTTTCATGTTCATGCTCAGTTGATATATGTGACCCTCCTAGTTTCCCAGTTGACACGTGATGTGCACTTGAGTTGTCTGCTATGAGTGTGAAGCATAGGCACGAGGACATGTCAGGCAGTGCAGATTTCTTTTGGCTTGGTGAGACCTTGTTTTGAGTGGGAAGAACCGTTTTCTGTTCGTTTTCTCGAAACTCGTTTGTCGGAACTCGTTTCCTGTTTGTGACCTGGTATTTGGTGACCAGAAGTGACTCAAGCCAGTTTAGGTCTGCACAGAGCTCAGCAGAGCACCTAAGAGGTGCTAGGAACCTACCCACAGTGTTTAGGAGTAGAAGTTCCATGGCTGAGTGTTTTCACCTGAAGTACCTTCGTTTGCCCAGGCCCGGCAGACAGGGCCGGAAGCTGGAGAGCCGTGCTCGCATTGGCTCAAGACGAGCGGAGCTCGAGAAGCTGTGAATAGCGCAGTGAAAAGAGTCCGCACTTTGTGCTGTGAGGGTTGAGTGTAGTCTTGACCTGAGGTCCCTTAGGCCCCCGTAGCTGTGCCACGAGTTTCAACGTGGTAGCGGAGCTTCGTGCTCCAGCATGGACAATGGTGAAGAACGTGTGCCTGGACGAGACCGTTCTCCGAGAGGCCGCAGTGCAAGCAGCCTGAGTTCCACAGGGCTTACTGGTGCAAGGTCACCAAGTGCCCGTGGGAGAAGAGAACGTGGAAGGTCTTTGCCAGCGCGACCAGCTTCAGTTCCACGCGGAGTAGACCCAAGGCAGTGGACAGCTACGACTGGAGCAGGCCATCAGCCACCAGTCGGGGCTGTGCCTTCGTTTGGACCTCAGTTCTACCAGATGAGCACCACAAGAACCCCTTCAAGTTCCGAATACGCAGTTGCCCGTTGCACCTGGAGTAGCTCAACAGATGGAGTTCACGAGAGCAATGCTGCAAGCGCAGGACGAGCAGATCCGACAGCAGGCAGCTCAACTTCAACAGATGAGTGCCATGCTTACGCAAGCATTGCAGCTTGCAAGTGCGAATGCTGCCAATGCGCAGAATGCAGCAGCTGCAGCTTCATCGTCGACGAGCCCTACACCTGGAGGGGACCCCTCAGCAGCACCTGCGAATGCATCGACTCCTGTGGACATGGAAGTAGACTCTGGTGTACGAAACAAGAGAGCAGAGGGTTACATTCCACAGTTGCCTCAGCTGAACTATGCGTCCATGACAAGCAGACATGCTGAAATCCGAGTTTGGACGGCCTACAGAGACGAACTTACGAGTTGGCTTTGTTTGCTCGACGACCGCTACGCTACGGAATTGCAAGAAGCGATCAGTAGCAATGTGGAAGTCTTGCAAGTGAGGCTTGAACCCGGGAAAGCAGCCCGGTCAACCAAACTTTGGTTTTTGCTTCGTCAGTCCATGAGCAAGTTCCAACGTGGGCAAGATTTGGTGCATCTCATCGAGGTGAAACAAATGGGAGCAAGTGCCGGATACGAACTCTGGCGCTCGTTGAACAACGAATTGTCAGTTCGCTCCAGAGTGGAGGGACAGGCCCTCCGCGAACAGGCGTTAGGCCTGGTGCCACCAAAGCATCTCAAGCGACCACTTGATGTCGCCAGGTGGTACACCACCGAGCTTCTCAAGTTTGAGGCGCAGGTGAAGCATCGCTTCCCGGAGTTGCTCATCGGAGAACAAGAGGGAGTCCTGTGTCTGATGAAGCACTTGGATTCTGAGACCAAGAGATATCTCCTCCTCCTTCACTCAACAAAGAGCATGGGTGAGCTGATGACTGGTTTGCAGTTTTACGACGAGCAGCTTCGTGTGATGGACTTCCAGAGAGAAGGAGCATCCGGGTATGCGAATGCCTTCAAGGGTGGCAAGGGCGGAAAGGGCGACAGAGACAAGAGCAACAAAGGCTCCAAGGGCAACAAGGGTAACAAAGGCGAGAAAGGAGAAAAGGGACTGAAGGGTGGCAAAGCGAAAGGAAAGGATAAGAAAGATGACCAAGGCGGAAAAGGAGACAGAGCTCGGAGCAAGAGCAGAGAAGCGAAGAAGACAGATGTCTGCCGGAACTGCGGGAAGACTGGACACTGGGCACGCGACTGCTGGGCACCACCGAAGGACAAAGCCGCAGCGGCGACGAGCCAGGCCGTTACGACGCAGCCAGAGGCACCATCGTCTTCATCGTCTACATCGGCGAAAGCAGCAGCGCAACCCACAACCAAGGGTAGTGGAAAAGCACAGTCATCAATCAAGACGTTTCTGGAGGGATATCACTTTGGTATGATGCTCACGAACCAGGTGGTTAGTTTTCCTTCAGATGATCGCGTTTACTGGTTGATTGACTCTGGTAGTTCGTTCCACATCATCACGAGAGAGACGCTTGAGAGTGATCATGTGAAGGTCCTTGCATGGCTTGAAGGACGCCCGAAGTCGTATGCGGAGACTGCGACAGGAGATTCCGTTGAGATTGGCGGATCGACACATGTTTTGGTGGAAGTGTGCTTTGAAACCACCACATCAGCATCACTGAAGAGCAGTTCTGAGCATGAGGGTGACGCTGTGTACATGTGTAGGGCTAGGTTTGAAGCCGTCATTTCCGATCAGATCAAGCACAATTTACTGAACATCAACTTACTTTGTCAAAATGGAGGTTGGGAGCCAGCAATGTGCGACCAGCAGGGCGTAATTACCGTCCGAAAGCACGGCGTAACGCTGAGACCAACCATGTTTGCTTCAGTTAGTTGGCTTGCGTCAGTTCGGAATGACCATCCTTTAGCGCTGAAACCGCAAGATTTGATCGCCAAAACGGAACAGTTTCGTCGAAGTCGGTCTCGCAAGTCGTCTTCGAGTCGTGATTTTCATCGTTCGACTTCGAATCGAGGTCATCGCAGCTCTGCGAGAGTGTGTGTTGAGCCCGAAAACCCCGAATTGCTGGATGTTTCATGTCTTGATGAGGTAGTTGATTGCGAGCTTCAGACGAGCCACGAACATGTTGACCTGGACCAAGGCGAAGCTAAGGACAGACTAAGGACAGTTGGTGACGTTTCCGGCTCTGCGAGGGATCAACTTCAGTTTTTCAGTCATGTGGATACGCCAGTTGTTCGTGAGCTTGATAGGGATGAACGCTTGATTTTTAGTGAAGACAACAGCGTTATTTCACACAAGCAACAGGACAACAGCACCACACCAGCAGTCGAGCGGCTTGTATTTGAAAATGACAGCAGCGTTATCTCACACAAGCAACAGGACAACAGCACCACACCAGCAGTCGAGCGGCTTGTATTTGAAAATGACAGCAGCATTATCTCACACAAGCAACAGGACAACAGCACCACACCAGCAGTTGAGCGTCTTGTGCATGAGCATGGTAGGGAAACAGTTGTCTGTCGTGCTTGCTTGGAGGATTTCCCTGATGAGGTTGAGATTGGCAGCTTGGATTGCTCAAAGAGGCGAAGTTTTCCTAGAGTAGGACAGATAGGAGACCGCCGCTATGGATCCGAGTGCCACGATGCAACGGAGCATTCAAGAGTTGGAAGGCATGCGCCAGGGGGCGAGACGCAGGAGATTGATACTGTTGGAGGCCAACGCCGCGCAGCATGGCATGGAGCTTCCACAGAATCTCCGAGAGGAACTCCAGGCAACGTATGCCGAGGCGGAGTAGGGGATTCGGCAAGGCTGGACCCTTCGACCTCATCGCCTTCGATAGAGTACGTCGTGGAAGAGACGGAAGCGGCGGAGGCACCGTCGTCCCACACTGGGGTGAAGGAATTCCAAACGGATCCTTCGATGTCAGAGGCTCCAACCGAGGAACCCGCTATAGTCCTGATGAAGCCGACGCCGAAGATCAAATGCAGGAGAAGGGTTAGAAGGGCAAGGCCATGAGACCGGTTCGGAATTTGCTGCCGGACCATGTGGACCAATCGACCATGGGAGTCGATCCTCGGGAGCCATCCGGCCCCACGCCGGGATCGTCAGCGCCAACACGGAGAGGAAAACGGCGCTGGGCGTCGACAGGATGGATGACGTGGATTGCTCGTCGATTTGGAGGGGCGTGGACGGCACAAGCCCCGGGAGACAGCAACCCACCGGACACGCCGGTTTGCCTCCTGTGCCAGAAGTATGTCACCGAAGCCCATTTGATGAGCGAACCACACGAAGCCAACATGCAGGGCTTCACGCACGTCATCTCCAAGGAGGGCCTCCGCGTGACGCAGAACCCGGTGAATTGGGCCACATGGGAGGAAGCTCTTGCCGAACCAGAGCAGCTGGAACTTGGAGTGAAGGCTCGCTCAGTGGTTGCACTGGGACCGAGCCCGAAGAAAACGACCGCGGCAGCACCGGCGATCCCGGTGGTGGTGGAGATAGACGAGTCCGACGAGGATTGGGGAGAATGGAGGCCAACCACAGAGATTCCAGCTCCAACGACTCCACCACATCCAAAGGATCCCCCTATCTCCATGATGCAGCCGCCGGGGGAACCGGTCAGCCCGACAGCAGTGTACACGGAGCACCGCCGGGGCCCGAGCCCAGGCATGCGAAGAGCATGGCGGGATTCACTTTCCAACCTGGGCTATCATGGTCCGCATCTGCAGCTGCATCTGAGCACACCAGGCCACACCGCAGAAGGGCTGCAAGCCGTCGAACCTTTGAGCTTCCTGCGAATGCAGGCGAAGGACCACGCCCAACTGCCGGTCAGCTTGATACCCCCGAAAGCCACCAGCGACCTCTCGATGGAGACAGGAGAAGCGGGGACATGGATACCAGCAGGAAGGCCATTCAACAACAATGAACCTTCGCACTCAGCTCAAGGCGGAAGTCCTCACTGGCCAACAATACGAGGACCGGCGCCGAGCAAGGTCGCAGGACATACAGGCTGCGAGGTCGGTCGCGCCGAGGCTGGCGCTTCCGATACCTCCGCCTCCTCCAGTTCTGCGGCCGGAACGCACGCCCGAAACTCCAATTCCGTGGAGTGGCGCGCCGTCGGCTGCATTTATGAAACTTGTCAGGCGTCGCCGAGATCGCCAAGAGCGCGATCGTTCTCGCTTCCCGTCTCCCTTGTTCCAAGACGAGAGAAAAGAGCCCGAAACGCGACAGCCACAACAGCAGTTTGAGTTATTGGTTGCGCAGCAAACAGGCAGAGCTTCAGCACTACATGCAGAGACACGTACCATACATGTCTGACTGTGAGTTTTGCCAGCGCACTGGAGGGACCACTCCAGCCCGAGAAAAGCGTAGCGACCTGAACCCGAGAGAGTTTAAGCTGACCAGTGCTTCTTTCGCAAGCTTGCATTCATCGTACTGGTTCATACCATGAGCTTTGCGATTGCAGTTTGCTTTAGACCTGAGAGAGAGAGCGCAGCAACAACAGCAGAGCATTTGCATCCCTGGGTCAGGCACTTTGGTGTGAAACAGCTTTGTGAGGGTACTGAGGACAAGCTTTGCACTCCGAAAGGCATGCACCAGCAGCAGAACGAGCCATTAGGACCCTGAAAGGAATCGTAGCAACACATGAGCTTGAGTTGCGTGAACATGGCGTTGTTTTGGATGCTGAGTGTGCGGATCTTTTCGACCTTTTGTTTCAAAACGCAGCACACACGCACAACAGGTTTTCAGTTTCTGTAGGGTCGACCATGTCACCCATGCAGAAGATCCGCGGAGATCGCGTACGACCGCAAGTTCACGTATCCGTTCGGTGCGGCAGCATATGCTCAGACAACGCGGGCTAGAAGACCTGATGCGGATGCCAAATATGCTCGAGGGATCTACTTGGGACTAGTGCTTGGGAGCACAGGTCATGCCATGGAAATCCGCTTGGATAGTGGGGAGACGAAACGGGTGATCGCGCCCGGACTCAAATTGCTCTACCCGTTGCGTTTCGACGCAAATCTTCTTCCCGGTGCAAAGGCCCTCGATGGCTTCGTGCCCCCGCCTGAAGCACCGAAGACCAAAGAGCTGTTTCTCCCATATGTTCCAGGTGGAGGTCCTCCCATCGACTGGGTAAGACAACATGGTGTTACACCCAAGTGCCCCGGATGCCAGGAAGGCGTCAGCTCGAGCAGGCATTCCCAAAAGTGTGTGAAGAGATACCAAAAATGGTTGCGTGATTCCATCGATGATGCTCTGGAGGCATTAGATGAAGGACCGAAGGTCGACCGAAGACCTGAGGAGCTAATTGGAGAAGACCCATACGATGATGACGAGCAAATGAAGCCGAACAAGCGAACACGCTTTGGAGGAGAGGAGGTCCGAGCGTTTGATCTTGAGCAAGCAGGAGTCGGAGACCTGGAGATCCCGGAGATGTCAGCACCGGATGCTGACTGGAATGTATCCGAATACCAGCCGTCCGAGGCTGAGGATGAGGATATGGGAGACGCTCCAGAGCATCCCCAGACATTCCATGAGGGGGTCCCAGTCCGATACCTGGAGGAATTGCTCGAGAGCGCCCACTACACACCACAACCACTTTCTTGTTGTGACCACTACGACGTCGAAGCAGCATGTCACTTACTTGTTGGTCGGTCGAGCGTGGAGAAGTTCCCGTATGTTTGCTTGAACACAACAACACAACGACAGCACCACAAGCAACAGCAGTCGGTCGAGCGTGAAGCAGTTGAGTTGTTGAATCTCCAGGATCACCCATGTGTATGTTCCTCAGTTAAAGAGAAAAGGGAAGATGAGTCCGCAGGGGCGTACATGAGAATCCAAGACAGGACTCTGTGGGTGAATCGACCTCGAGCCAGCTACGACGACCTGGAAGGTTTCCAGCTGGACCCTGAAGAGACATGGCAAGGAATCAAGAAAGAAGTGAATGCGCTCGATAGTCTGAAAGTTGGTTATGCAAGATCAAAGAGCGAGATTGATGAATACCGCAAAGCCAACCCAAACTGTCGGACGGTCAAGTCCCGATGGGTCCTCACTCAGAAGGCCCCAGGACTAGTCCGAGCAAGGATAGTCGCTAAGGATTTTGCTCATGGCCGACCATCCGCACTCGATTTGGGGTTGAGTTCTAATACTGCGTCGGTGGAAGCCCTCAAGATCGTCCTTGCACGGGCGGCGAAGGGAAAGATGCGGGCTTACGGCCTCGACATATCCACCGCGTTTCTCTTTGCGCAGGTAGTGGAACCCACCATTATCGAGTTGCCAAGCACATTCGCGCTCGAGAGCGGCGAAACCGCATACTTGATACTAGAGAAAGCGCTCTACGGTTTGCGTTCCGCCAGCCTTAGCTGGCAGCGACACCTGAACAGGATCGTATCTGCACTAGGCTTACAAGCGAGTCCACTCGAACCGACGCTTTTCAGCGGATGGGCCAACCTTGAATCCGGATGGGAGTATATCATCATGTTAGCGTACGTGGATGATTTGCTCATTGTGTCCTCTACCGAGAAAGGGTTCGAGTACGTCCACGAAGCCCTGAGTTCAGTCTTGAAAGTCAAAGTGACAGGGAGGCTGATCGAAGATGGGCAGATGGAATTCCTCGGTCGTTTAATCCGTTGGGATGGACGACAGATCATGCTTGGGGTGAAGCCTGAGTATGTGAAGTCGGTCTTTACATCCTTCGGATGGGACATATCCACCGTAAAAGCATCCTTGACGACACCCGACATCAGGAGTATGTACGATGAGGAGAGTGTTGAAGAGCCTTCAAAGGAGCTGTCCAGTGAAGCAGCTTCACGGTTCCGAAGTTGCCTAGGGAAGATAGGCTGGCTCTGTCAAACTCGCTCAGATATAACGTACTTTCACTCCATGTTGTCGCGCGGACAAAGCATGCCACGGCAAGTGCATGAAGATGCACTTCGCAAGTTCCTGCGATGGTTAGCAGCGTTTCCGCTGTTAGATCAAATCTTCCCGCTCGGAGATGGCAAGACCAATGAGGGGGAGAATGCCAGCCTGGTGGCCTATTGCGACAGCAATTGGGGCAGCGAGATGAGCGTAGCCCGGAAAAGCACCAGTGGCGGAGTGATCTACATCGCAGTGGACGGTCTGTGGTACTGCATAAAGGGGTACAGCCGCCTGCAGAGCGTCGTGGCACTCAGCTCAGCAGAGGCAGAGTTGTTTGCCATCGCCGAGGCAGCGAAAGAGGTGGCAGGACTTGCGCAATTGACGGCGCATATCTGGGGCACCCTCCAGAAACCCCACCGCGTGTACACTGACTCTGCCTCAGCTAGGCATATCGCCAGCATGGAGGGGCTACTCAGGCGCATGCGGCATATAGACTTGAGGTTGTGCTTTATCCAAGACCGTGTCCATAGCGGCGAGTTGGCAGTAGAGGGAGTAGCCGGAACCGAGAATGTGAGCGATCTTCTCACAAAGAATTTAAATCGTCTCCAAACAGCAAAGCATACAGCAACCCTCGGACTAGAAGATGTCACCAACATCGATTTCCGAGAGGTCCCAGCAGTCAGGTCTTGCTTGTTGCTGTCTGGAGTGTTAGATTCGATACTCGGGCCGGATAACCTCAAATACGAAGCTTTCTGTCGGCTATGCGAACTCGAGACTGAATATTCAACTTTGCTGATCGAGTTTTGCACGAGTTCACGTTCGAATCTGTACCTGCAAGGAAGTGTGCACCAAGTATTTGTCCTGCCGATTACTCAAGGGGTTGACGGAACCTCAAATGACACCGTGGAGCGGGTCATGTCTGCAATGAATGTTGCGAGAGAATGGGGGATGAAGGTTGTTTTCTGGAGCAGCACTCCTTGTACCGGAGGTAGCCCGTACCAACGGCGACACGAAGATCGGCCGGGCTATCAGGACCATCTACAAGCTTTGTTCACGGTGCATCGCAAGCTCTGGCGGAGCTTCTTAGTGATGGTGAACCACCCGCAAGTGGGGGTATGGGTCATAGAATGGCCGCAGAGGTGTGCCTACTGGGGATGGGCAAGCACCCGTTCGTTTGCAAAGCAAAGAACCCATTACACTGGCGAAGTGCACGGCTGTGTTTCAGGCTTGGTAGGCAGAGATGGATTACCTATCCGAAAGATTTGGAAACTGATGTCGAACGATGAACAGTTTGTGCGAACAATGTCCGAAACGTTTGCATGTACCTGCAAGGGAGATCATTCACGAAACTTTGATCTCAAAGCAACGCAGCACTATCCGCCAGCTTTCGCGGACGTCGCCCTGGAAAGCTTGCGACTGCGGTAATTAGGTTACTTTGCGAGAGTTAGTCGACCTCCAGCGGTCTGAAGCAGTGCAGCGGTCTAGGACTGAGGAATGCGCCGGAATGCGCGCCCCGGCGAGGAGCTTAGTTGACTTTGCGTGGAGCTTAGTTGACGTGACCAACAGTGAAACTCTTGGTCATGAGGGGGAGTTGATATATGTGACCCTCCTAGTTTCCCAGTTGACACGTGATGTGCACTTGAGTTGTCTGCTATGAGTGTGAAGCATAGGCACGAGGACATGTCAGGCAGTGCAGATTTCTTTTGGCTTGGTGAGACCTTGTTTTGAGTGGGAAGAACCGTTTTCTGTTCGTTTTCTCGAAACTCGTTTGTCGGAACTCGTTTCCTGTTTGTGACCTGGTATTTGGTGACCAGAAGTGACTCAAGCCAGTTTAGGTCTGCACAGAGCTCAGCAGAGCACCTAAGAGGTGCTAGGAACCTACCCACAGTGTTTAGGAGTAGAAGTTCCATGGCTGAGTGTTTTCACCTGAAGTACCTTCGTTTTCCCATGTCTGGCAGACAGTGTTTGAAGCTGGAGAGCCGTGCTCGCATTGGCTCAAGACGAGCGGAGCTCGAGAAGCTGTGAATAGCGCAGTGAAAAGACCGCACTTTGTGCTGTGAGGGTTGAGTGTAGTCTTGACCTGAGGTCCCTTAGGCCCCCGTAGCTGTGCCACGAGTTTCAACGTGCTCTGTGACGGCGTGACTTACTGACAAGTTGAGCCTCCGACCTGCTGACCACTGAGCCTGAGGCCGGAGCTCCACCAGCAGCCGGCGCTGGTGACAGCACTGCCGTCGTGGCTTGAGTGCGCTCCTGCAACAATGTTGCAAAGACAAGAAGGGCGCTGTTGCATCGCCACTTCCCAAGAGAGTTCCGAAGAGGGAGCTTGAGTGAAATACACCTTGCATCAGTGGGATCCACGCTGTAAAATCACCCTCGAGGCTGGGCTGACAGATCAGCGGAATAGCATAGTATCTAGTCTAGAGTCCATGTAGTATGCCGTTTTTCGCATATCGTTTTTAGTATGTAGTATATTGTGTTGTCTATAGTCTGTAGTCTATAGTATATAATCTTTAGTCTATGGCATATAGTATATATATACTACAGCATACGTCTAGTTTGCCTCGCCTTGCCTGTCTCCGTGTCTGAGTTTCTGGCTCATGCAGTCGGCCGGCCTTGGAGTGGAGGCTGCGGATTTCCTCTGCCATTCCCTTCATCAGAGGTGTCTCCATTGAGGGGCAGACCACACCCGCCGCCTCATCCAGTGCCTCGCCATTCGTGGCGAGCTTGTGGGCAAGTGGTGGTGTGGAGGACTTGGAGGGCTGAGAAGCTTCAGACTGAGCGCTCAATGGTGACTCTACTGGCACAGCGTGAAGGCGCTGCTTCAGTGAGGCGCGTCGTCCAGGAGGCGACAGGGGTGTTGGTACCGTGCGCAGCTCGGACATGATGCCAGGTGATAGACTGGATGTCAACGGAAGTGGCGGAAGTGGGTCCTTTGGGTCCTTTGGGTCCTTTGAGAGTTTCTTCACCTCGTCATCGAACATGGCTCGGCGGTGTGAAGGAATCCGGTCCAACACGACAGGAAGGTCACTCGAGTTGTTGTTGTGGACCACCAGTCTGGCAAGCACTTTGGCCGCTTCTTGTCGCACCATGTTGTCAGAATCATCAACCAGCGGAAGTGTCAGCGTCGCCACAGCTGGGAAGAACCGTTGGAATGCATCGGGATATATCTCCTGGACCTCAGAAGCGACTGTGGTTTGCAAGCAGTCAGTCGGGTCGCACCTAGAGAGGGTTCAACCACCCAGAGATTTTTCAGGAGGTCCAGGACAAGCTTCCATTGTTTCCACATGTGTCTGCTTCCTGAACATGATTGTCAGAGTCACCTGTGGAAGCTCTAGCCCCCGCAGCAGCAAGTTCAGCGCCTCCTTCTTCACGAACACACCTCACAGCTGCTACACCACGTTTGCCAGCTGAACAAATCTTAGAAATCTTCCATCGAAGGCGAAAAGCCTGTGGAACCAATGTGAGGTGGAAGCTCCTGATAGCCATAGCTGTGAGGAATGCAAACAGGCTGCTCATTACAGAGGCGGAAATGGCACTGGCAATACCAATCCTCCAAGAGCACCTCGTAGGGAATGGACCACAAAAGCTGCTCCACAAGATCGATGAGGCAATTGTGCTTCCACACACCTGAGCTTCCAATCTTCGATCACAGTAAAGGACATGGTCTGGCGGTACTGCAGGATCGATCGCAAAGTGCTACTACAAGCAGTGAACCAGCTTTCACCCTCTCCTTTTCGGTACTGGTGGCAGGGCACTCCTGTCGTTGATCCGAGCAAGCGCCACTGGCAGGAGCACTTTTGCTTGCTTCTCGAAACCACGTCGGAGACCTTTGGAGATCAAGCCCATGCCTGAGCCCACGACCTCAAAGTAAAAGTCTTAGTTTAGGGCTGGGGTGGGGGCCGAAGTTTCTTCTGAAGTTGCGACCCTTAGTGGGGAAGCCGATGCTAAGCAGATAAGTCTTAATGATGAGGTTCTCCAGTTTCTCAAAGACTAGTAGAATCTAGTAGGGCATTCATTTTTCTTCATCCTGATGCTGTGGCCATGACATGTGTCAACAGGCATGACAGGGGCTGCGGGCTCTGCTCCTTGTGCTGCCAAAGATGCACTTGGCAACTTCGGTCAGCACTGGAATGTCGCTCTCACCTGGTGAGCTGTGAGACAAGAGCAAAGGGTTGGACAAAACCCACTTCCAAGACATGGAACTCCCTTCTTTGAGAGCTGTCTGTGTTGTTGGTTTCGCAAGTCGAGTTTTAGCCCCTATGAAGGCGAGGGACTTTTGATCATCCGCTGGATGGTCGACACAAGGGACGCGTAGCTGTCCCCCGCTGAGCACTCCAGGATTTCTAACAATACCTCCAATTCAGTGTCGTGCTGGCAGGACAATCCCAAGTTGTATCCTGACAAGCTTCCAAACCTGCAAGTGCTGAAGCTTATCCTTCCTTTTCTTCATGGAAGTCACGCTGGTGATGCACCATCCTGTCAAATCGCTATTAATCACTTGATCGGAATCCGGGCTCAAGTATCTTATGTTTCACGCTATCCACGCAGAACATTACACAATCATCTTATTTTGGCGCCGAAGCGGCACTGCACTGCACCATACTGCGGCGCCCTATGTTCGAAAGCATAACTCGGGCACAAAGCAAGACTCAGTGTCCAAGTACCCTGTGCATTTTTACGTCTCCAACCTATTTCAGGGAAACATAACGGCTCGTGTACTCCACAGGCTCGAAAACAGAGCCCGCGGCCGTAAGGTCCTTTGGGAAGCTTGAGGAAATGGATCGATTTTGCCGAGCAGATCACCTCAGTAAAGCATAAAACGCATGAGACCCAGAAAGCGCTTTTCAGATAGCACACAGGCGCCAGAGCACAAGTGCAGCACAGGAGCTTGCACTGGTACCGCTTGTCTGTAAGGCACTGGCTTCACCTTCACACATTTACCTCCTCCCCTCCTCACCCCCTCCTTACCCCTCCTCACCCCCTTCACCCCCCTCCTCCCCTCCTCCCCTCCTCTCCCCCACCTGCCCCTCCACCCTCCTTGCAAAAGTTCTTCTTTTTCGGGGCTGAGCCGCAGTAAGATTACTATATCAGGGCCCTTGGTACCTGGCAGCCATGGACTGTGAAAATATGACATTTCTTTGTTTGCCTAGTTGCTTGCAGGTACATGTGTAGGACATGAGTGCTGTGACATGGCAAGAACATGTTTTGTTTTGGCATGAGCATGTTTGCATGACATGAAGGTGCTTTGACTTGACATGTTTTGGTTTGCAAGTCCGATGATGAGTTTTGAGAAGCACAGAGAGGCTTTTAGCTCTCGGGAGGTGACCTGAGAGTCATCTGGAAGTGCTGAAGCAAAGCTCTGAGGAACAGACTTTGGCCGTTACTCACTCCGTGTGCTTTGCCCCGTCGTTCGTACCGTGTCGTGAACGTTTGACACTCGACTGAGGCATTCTGAGAGCATGCTGTATGTTTTGCAACAGACCTGAAGTCCTGAACCAGTAACCAAGATGTTTTGCATGTTACTTTTGTCTTCTCCTTTGTCTAAACAAAGTTGAGATGTCGTTTGAAGACTTGAAGCCTTTGCTCTTGGAGAGAGCACCTTTGCTGACCAAAGACAGTGCAGCTGAACACTGACGTGTTTGGCTCAAGTGCGAACGGAAAAAGCAGTCTGCGCTGAAGCTCTGCTTTTCACATGGTAGCGGAGCGTCCTGAAGAGACGTTCCAGGAAAAGCCATGGCCCAAGTTCCGGACGCGTCTACAGTGCCAGTACCTGATGTGAGCCCTGAGGAAGAGGCTTTGCTGTTTGGGTCTCAAGGACAACCGACAGCACCTGCTGGAGGAGCGAACCCTTTTGCGTCGCCTCCGGCAACTCCAGCTCAAGCCTACTGGAAGCCAAGTGGGTGGAGTACAAGCTGGAAATGGCCTTGGTGAAGGCAACTTCCAAGCCATCTTCTTGGAAATGCTAAGGCAGCAAAGTCAGGCCAACCAGCAGAACCAGCAGTTGATAGCTGCCCTCATGAGAAGAATGGATTTGGAAGAGAAGCGTCGAAATGAGGCTGAAGAGAAGGCAGCGGAGACCGCACGTTTGGTTGCGGAGGCTGCAGCTAGAGCCAAGACGGAAGACCCGTTTGCAGCTGCACCGAGCACCTTCTGTGCCTTTTGCAGGAGCTACCTCGTCTTCGAGCTCTGTTCGGAGCCCATTGGTGCAGAATAGGGCGGAGAAGTACCTTCCATCTCTGCCGATGCTAGAGCATCAAGGCATGAACAAGGGCAGGATGCGAGAAGTCGAGACATGGCATGCCTATTTGGAGACACTGTCATCGTGGCTTGCTCTTCAAGATGAGTCTTTCGTTCGAGAGTTGCAACTCTGCGTCAAGCAAAAGAATGAGATCCTTCAGAAGGATTTGGCGGATGATGTTGCTGCTCGAAGTGCGAAGCTTTACTACTATCTCACCCAATCTCTCTCACGTTGGGAAAGAGGTCAGGAGTTGCTACGCTCGTGCTCGAAAAGGCAGTCTCTCAGTGCCTGCGGATACGAGGCGGTGAGGACCATCACGCAGCAATACAGCATCGTGTCTCGCATGGAAGCTGTCTACGTGCGGGAGCAGTGCCTCAAGTTGGCGACTACGTGCCAGCATCAACGACGGCCGACAGACCTCATCCGTCACTTGGAGGACGAGTTTTCTCGTGCCGAATCCAAGCTTGGGAACTTTCCAGAGTTGCGTCTCACGGAGGCTGACCGCTGCAGTGTTTTGCTGCAAGCTCTGAGCCAGGAGCTCAGACAGTACGTCGTTCTTCATGGAAAGAGCAACGACTGGACATCGCTGAGCGATAGCCTTCGGTACTATGAGGAGCAGCTTCGTCTGTGTGAGGGTCCTTTTTCCTCAAATCGGCAGATGTCAGGAAAGGGTGACAAGCTTTGTGACCACTGTGGAGGAAAGGGACACCTGGCTAAGGACTGCTGGAGCCGTCAGCGTGAAGCCGGTGAAAAGGGCAAGAAGGGCGACAAGGGCAAGAAGGGCGATGGCAAGGGAGCGCAGAATCCCAAAGGAAAGCCACGCTCTCCAACGCCGAAAGGCGGAAAAGGCGGCAAAGACAAGGAGCAGAAGCCCGACAAGCCTGATAAAGGCAAGGGCAAAGGCAAGAAGAAGAAGAAGGCTAGAGCCCGGGCTATGGGAGAACCAGAGTCCGAGGCAGAGTCCGAGTCTTCGAGGACCTCCACCGTGATGGCGATGAGGTTTGCCAAGCCTTCTGCTGTACGAGAAGTACTGAGCCAGCCTGAGCCTGAGAAGCCTAAGCCCGTAGAGGCAGTCCCTAGACCGGTCGCTGTAGGGCCGAAAGTCACTGTAGATGAGAAGGTAGGCACCCTGACTGGAAGCACCTCGAAGGGAGATGCGGCATACGTCTGCGCTTCGCTGCAGGTAGAGCATCGTGATGTGTGGCTGGTCGATAGTGGAGCCACATGCCACATCGTCTCAGCAGATCATCTGTCAGGATTTCGTGTCTGCAAGTACCATGATCGCACGGTGACGCTCTATAGTGCCTCAGGAGACATCATAAACGTATCGAATGTCGTTGATCTTGAAGTTCGTTTCGGCGACGTTTCGTTGACGTTGGAGGACGTCCTTGTGGCGGACGTGCCTTTTAATGTGGTATCTCCGTGGTCCGCGTCGGAACGGGGCTGGAAGACGCACCTTGCGCGCACCGGGTCTCGCATTTACAAGGGTGGAAAGAAGAATGTCCGCCTGGTTGGGGCGAAACGGGCCTGGTGGGCGATTAGCGGAAAGAAGCAGAAAGCTCCTAAACGCCCATCCAAGGGATCGGACATGGAGATCGACTCTCTTCCTGTTGACAAGGAACCCAGGAAAGACATTACTGCAGGACCAAGCATCCTGAAGAAGACTTCGAAAGAAGTGAAGAGTGATGAGAAGCCTGGAAAGGACGAGAAGTCTATCCGCCATGTCTTGACGGGAACGCCGTTTGAGTTCATGTTGCGCGGCTTGAGGGCTGAAGTTAGGAGTAGGTCCCTGGAAATTCCTGAAGAACACGCCGTTAGGAAACCGCACGACATGATCTGTACTAGAAAAACGGATGTCCTGAGTGGTGATAGGAGCCTGTGTTCCGAAAGTCTGGTTAGGAAACTGCATGATTCTGTTAGGAAATGCCATGTTTTTGTCAGACAGCAACATGATTTTTGGCAGCGGCATGTGTGCGCAGTTTGGAACGTGATGTTTTTGCTGGCATGTCTTGTGAAGGGGTTGTGTTTGAAAGGCGTTTCGCCTCTGATCGTCGGCAGTGAAGGTTTGAGGTGTGCCCTTAAAGGAAGTGAGTGCCCCAAAGCAACCGAGCCAAGCATGTTTTGCGTTAGGAAGCCCAAAAGACCTCAAAAAGGCTTGAAGTGCGCATGTTTGTCCGCAGCCATTTTGCTTGTTTGCGTGTCTTGGTTTTCCCTGAGGGAAGGTGCTGAGCATGTCGGAACCTCGAATGGAGGTGGAGCAAGATTCCCACAACTCTCCAGCGGAGAGTACCGGGCAGGAGGTTGTGTTTTTGAATGCACCCGTAGAGCCTGCACCAGCAGAGGCGGCGCCAGCCGAGACTGCGGACGCAGGGGCTTCAGTTGCCCCCTTCAATGTTTTCTCGAGGCCTCCGAGTCAAGTTGCAGTACCTTCACCTTCGGTGGCTGCATCAGAGACAGGAGAAACGGAAGAGGAGGAAGCATGGGGAAGATGGAGGGCTCAAACGGTGGCATCCACAAGCAAGCCTTCGCAGCCATCAGACGAGCCGCCTCTGATAGTGAAGTGGAGAAGCATGCTGAGGGGGCCGCGCTACAGGTATTTTATGCAAGCGATACGACAACAGCGAGAAGAACGACCTGGAACCTGCAGTTCCACTTATGTCTATCGGAGATGGACTCGTTTATTCTTCCCGCCATGGCGGGACCATCTTTGCGTCATTGACAGATGCTTTGATGACCGACGGCTACCTCCTCGAGGTTGGACAGAAGCTCCTTGGGCGGATCCAACGTCCAGACCCAGGTGTGGGACCGTGCCTGGGAACGGGGTGGTCCAAGAGGCTTCGCGATCACGATCCCGATCCTCTGGATGGAACGCCCTACATCAGCGCAGAGGTTGCGTGGGCGCTGTGGCTGCCCGAGTTTCCGGAAGCCCCGGATCATGGAGGGATCCTTCCGGTGAAGAGAAAGAGGGATTTTTCCCAGCTCACCGACGAGTTGTTGGACGAGCATACTACAAGGTTCGAAATCGCGGGTCAAGGCCGCACTCTTCATCAACGCGGCGTGCGTGCAAGGGACGCGCGTGCCGCTATCGAAGGGTATACTCCCGATCCAAGTCACCTACGCCACCAGAGTGGCGGGGACGTGGCTGCGCTGGGTTACATCAAGCGTATCCTCAAGGTCCTGACCGTTTACGAGGCCATGCCGGAAGCGGAACGCAACCTTTTGGCTGGAATGTATCCAGACGACGTCGAGCTCCAGCTCGAGTGGGTGCCAGGCTCAGCCATCAGGCATGGGTGGCGTGCGTTAATGGGGGCAATGGATCAGCGCACCCGGCGCTATATCGAGTTCGAAGCAGGGGTCCGAAAACGGGAGGACTTGCAGTCCGCTCGACCCAAGGTCAAGGCCAGAAGGACGGCTGCAGCTGCTTCCACAGATACTGGAGGTGGAATTGGAGAGATGGACGAAGGCTCGGAGCCTGGAGCGATGAACGAAGGCTCGGAGACTGGAGCGATGAACGAAGGCTCGGAGACAGAGTCTGCAGAGTCATCCTCGGCAAGTTCGTCGGACGAATCGATTCCAATGGGGGAATACATGATACAGAGCCGGACCAGAGTTTTGGCGCTCATCGAAGCGGAGAAAGCCTTGAAGGATGTGGGCTCCTCTGCGCCGCCCCCACCGTCTCCTATCATTATGGAGCCATCGCCGGTCGCGACGGACGGGTACAAGTTCGATCCAGCACCCTAGGAACCCCTCAGGGGGACACTGCGGCTCCTTCGACACCGGTGCCTCCTTCGCCTTCCGCAGTTTCATTGGCCCCTTTGCAGTCCTTCAAGTTCTTGGATGTTCCACCTGTTGCTCCTCCTGGTCCCTCGGGACACAGTGTGGAGCCGATGGTGGTGGAAAAGGAGCGGGCCCCAGAAAATTCAGGACCCACGGCACCGGTTGGAGCTCCAAGTTCCACAACGGAGAGTGTGCCGGAGACCCCTTGTAAAGTTTTTCTGCTACCTGGGAACCCCACCTACCAACCCAAAAGGGTTGATGAGCATGTGTGGATTTGTGACTCATGTTTTACCGACAGCGCTTTTACCGGTTCAAGGAAAAAGAGCGACTTGAAGTTTAGCATGGTAGCGGAGCACACTGTGCATCCGGGACCGAAGCCATGCCTCGTGGCCGTGATGATGGTTTGGGTTGGAACCCTGATGCTGTGGAGCCAATGGAGCTCACAGAACCTACAGAGCCCATGGAACTCACAGAACCCATGGAGCCAATGGAACTCACAGAACCCATGGAGCCGATGGAACCCGCAGAGCCCATGGAAGAAGGGGGACAAGAAGAAGAAATGGAGCCACGAAGAAAGGAGATCAAGATTCACCGTGTTGGCATGGGAAAAGGCTACGGATCTTCAGCAAGCAGTTCAGCTGAAGGAAGTGGAAGTGCACCAAGGTATATGCCTCCAAAGCCGAAGAAGAAGCCCGAACGACCAGTGGTGGAAGGAAGAGATTACATTCCCTTGGAAGGAGGAGAACCAGACGGGCCAGTGGAGATCGGGAGTCCTAGTTCCTCTAGCCCCGAAACTACAATGGTGTACCAAGAGGCACCACCTACACCGAGAAGGGAGCCGAGGACACTTTCGTCTGGGCACATCGCCTTGGAGCTGCAAGAGCAGCAAGTGTCTGCTGAGCAACGCAGGCGAAGGCAGCTGGAGAGACTCTCTGCACTCGCAGCAGAGACGGAAAGGATCCAACGGCGAGCAAGGGAACGAGCCTTGCAGGAACCAGTTCGGTTTCCAAAGTCAGGAGGGCCACCGCCACCAGCGGGCCCAGAACCAGAGCAAGCTCCAGAGTGTCCACCGCCAGGAGAAGAACGAGCTCCAGAGTGTCCACCTCCGGACCCAATGCCGAGTGGTACGAAGCTTCCTCTTCACACGCTGGACGGGGAACCCAGCAACGCAGCAGTGGCGGAACACATCCGCCGGAATGAGGAGGAGTATGCTGCAAGACGTGCCGGTGCAATTCCTTCAGGAGACGAAGCAAGAGCCAGGGAATCCAAGGAATTTGCTCGTGGAGTTGCATACTTTCGAGCCAGGTACGGCCAGCGAAGCCAAAGCAGTGGAACAGCGAGTTCCAGCCGAGACACGGGGCCTGGGACCCTACAACCCAGGACGGGACCTGGGACCCTACAACCCAGGATGGAAGATGCGAGAAATGAGCCAGGGAGCAGTTCCAGAGGACCACCTCCGAAGGAACGACCTGCTGGAAGCAAGGCGCCACCTCCAGAGCCAAAGGGACCACCACCGAAGCGAGTGGGAGCAACGCAAGCCACTACGCTCTACCCGAATTCTCCTTGGAGGAGAACAGAAAGGAGAAGAATGCGAGAAAGGGGCGAGGAGCCAAACCCTGGAAATGAGGAAGATGAATGGGGAGATTGGTCAGGACGATGAGGTCGACTACCAGAAGGAGAAAGCAGAGATCGACTACCAGGAGGAGAAAACAGAGATCGACTACCAGGAGGAGAAAACAGAGATCGACTACCAGGAGGAATCAAAATTCTATGGCCTATGTACAAACAAGAGCCTCTACTCCGACAAGACTATGAATGGAGCAAGAGATCCATTGGTGATGTGGATTTGGACCAGTATTCCAGGAGCAAAGAACCTCTACGACCCCAAGACTATGCAATTCGATTACAATGGAGCAATGGCAATGATGCTTATGCTTGGAGTATCAGGTGCGATCATGTTGTGCATTGGATGTTTGCAAGCGACAGTGCACTTGCAGTCATGTCGTCAGTCATGTTTGTGGAGATTGCAACATTCATGTTTTCGGAGGCGCTTGAGCAGAGGGGCACGGAGAGATCACTTGCGTTCGTGTGCTTGTGTGAGAAAACAACAGAGAGGAGCGATGCTGTGTGTGCTTGTCGTGTTACAGTTTTCTGCAGTGCAAGGGATGCAGCAGAATGGACCACCCCAACAACCCACAGAACTTTCTGAAATTCTGACTGCATTGACAAGGGCGACCCAAGTTGGAATGAGTGCGCTACAAAGGTTGGAGCAACAAGCAAGCAGTTCGGATGATCTGAACCGAAGGATTGAAAGTGCGACAAAGGCGATCAAGGCACCAGATGTTTGGAACCCACAAGCCTCGGGAGAGCATCCACCGGATTTTACAACCTGGAAACATCAGTTTCTGAATTGGCTAGGTTTTGCCGATTCGCAGTACTCAGAAGCTCTAAGTATGATTGAAAGTCTGGGAGCAACGCCGATCGATGTTTCGACTCTCACTACAGTGGAGAGAGAACTTTCGACAAAGCTTTACCACATACTGACTTCGTATATATATGCGGGGAGCAGCAACGCAACTGTCTCGAAATTGGAGCAGGGAGCGATGTGGGTATCGTCTCTATCAAAGTTTGCTTTGGGAATACCAACCAGCCACCAAACAACGAGCTCTAACCCTCAGTCAAGCGATTGGGATGTTTCCCAACTTCGATGGGGGCAAGAGCATGGTGGAGCAGATTGGTTCACTGGAAAACCTTGTTCGGGAGTACGAGATCGCTTCAGGAAAGACCTACGATCGAGATTTGTTGATGGGAGTTTTGCTTCGATGTTCACCGAGGGCGATTCGAGACCACCTTACTTTGACAATGCCCGAAGGAACAAACTACATGTCAGTGAAGCAAGCGATTCTTTCATACGAGCAAAGCAGCAAAACTTGGGATTACCAGACGGTGTTGAAGCAAAAGACCTTGCAGAACACAGCGAGCAGTTCGAATGCAGATCAAGGACCAGCACCAATGGAAGTGGATGCAGTGTACGAGAAAGGAGGAGGAAAAGGAAACAAAGGCAACAAAGGAAACAAAGGAGGAAAAGGATCCTACTCGTGGTCAAGCTTTGGAGCAGGATTTCGCCAATGGAGAAAAGGTGGACGAAAAGGAAGCTACAAAGGAGGAAAGAAAGGACGAGGCAAAGGTTTCCACAAAGGAGGAAAGAAAGGCGGAAAGAAAGGTGGAAAGCATGGCAAAGGAGGAAAGAAAGGTGGAGGAAAGAAGTTGGACAGAGATGTTTGCCGATTCTGCAAGCAGCGAGGACATTGGGGAAACGAGTGTCCAAACCGCAATGTTCGAGAAGTGCAGGCGAGCGAGGCCAGCACCGAGGTACCCCACTCGACAGTCGAGTCTGTTACTCCGTCGCAGAGTGCGAGCCAATACAGGATAAGGAGAGTGAGGAACATTGATTTCCATCACATTGCGAACACACCACCTGACGGCACAGAGCACTATGAGCTTAGCGAAGTTTCAGAAGAAGAAGGTGATTGGTTCACCAGAAGGATAGAGGTGCAAGGACCAGAGTGCTACTACATCGGGGATGAGAGTGAGAACAAACAAGATCATGAGAGTGATGAGCTGTATCAATGGTATGAAAACAGCTTGGAAAGAGTTCAAGGAGGATTGGGACCTCCAGGAGGATTGGAACCTCTGAATCAAGGAGGATTGGAACCTCTGAGTCAAGGAGGATTGGAACCTCTGAGTCAGGGAGGATCGGAACCTCTCAATGTGCGAATGGTCCAGTTGGACACAAAGCAACACGTGGTGATCTTGGATTCAGGAGCAGATGTGAGTTTGTTACCACGAAGATTGTCGGATGCAGGCGTCGAAGTTTCGACCCCAACCTCTCTGAGGTTGCAAGACGCACAAGGGGGTGCGATGCGAGTTGAAGGTATGCGGCGAGCAGTTTTGCAGTTCAGTAGCTGCAGTGTGACTGAGGACTTTGTGTTGTCGGACACCAATAACATCTTGCTGTCTTTAGGAAGGCTACTCAAAAATGGATGGAAGTTTGTGTCAGTGGGATGCAAACAGCGCCAGGGGGGCGAGACCTGGGGAGAAGAAACCCAGGCGGGGGAACTTGTATCTCCCGATGGTAAGGCACGGGTGCCTGTGGAATACCAGAGGAATAGCTTGAGATTGACAGCGGAAGTTAGAGGAGTCGAGCAAGTCAGGGCAGTCAAGGTGACTTTGGCCTATGACTTTGGTAAAGTCCCAGAGAAGGATTGGAGCCTTCTACCAAATGGAACGCCAGTCCATCGCCATTTTGGACTTGAGTTTGTAAAGCCGCCGACAGGTACTTGGAAGTACAGGACCACCATCGTGAAGGTGAGCAACGAATGGGAAGTGATTGAAGCAACGGAATTGCTCGAGCGAAAATCCGACTTGGAAGATCGAATACCGGGATTGCTTTTTCGATCAGAAATTCTCACATTCTTGCACAGGACACCAGAGTATCTGGACAAGTGCTTGGTAGAAGAGGTAGCACCAGAAGAAGCACCAAAGGAGGAAGAAAAGAAGATGGAAGAGGAGCCAGAATGGTTTGGAAGAGAAAGAGGAGCTCCAGAAGAGTTGCAGGTGCCAGTGCCGAAAGGAGTTGTGAAGCAGCAAGGAAAGGCAGGAGGACACCAAGAGTTGGAACTCGACATGGGAAGTACTATTGTGGTGAATGGAGAGTCACTCACAGCAACGAGTGAGATTGAGAAGCTGCGAGAAGGTTGTCGGTATTTGGGTTTGAGCGTCTCAGGGTCAAAGGTGAAGATGTTCAGGAGACTGTGCAACTACCTCACCGAAGACAGAGATGAGGACGCAGAAGAAGTTGCAGACAGGCTGAGGAAGCAAAGGCCCAAAGCAAGAACAAGACCCGGAGTGCCCGAACCGACAGAAGCAGAGATTGAAGAGCATATGGCAACCCACATGCCAATGCAACCATGGTGTGATTTCTGTGCAGCGGCAAAGTCGAAACAGGACCATACCCCACAAAGCAGTGAAGCAAAGTATGAAGACCCAGGAAAGCCAGTGATCCAGATGGACTTCATGTACATGGGTCAGAACAGTGTGAGTCTGATCATTCTTGATTCATGGACTCGATTTTCGTGGGCGATTCCAGTGCCGGGGAAAGCACCGACGAAGAAGTTGGCCGAGAAAGTGGTGAAGTTTTCTCTCGAGATGAACTACATTTCCGAAGAAGTTCTGTTTGCGATTGATGTGGAGCCAGCGACAACAGCCTTACTGGATTTGATTGTAGCAATACGACAAAAGTTAGGCTACAAGGCTGGAAAGTATCCAAACAAGCCCTACCACAAAGGAAGAACAGCGAGAGTGGAACGCCACATTCAGAACCTCAGGAGACAAAGCCTCACGATGATTGAAATGGTCGAGGATCGGATTGGGGAAAAGATTCCTGAAGATCATGCTTTACGAGCGTGGGCAATTCACCACGCAGCATGGTTGTTCAACAGGTACCACCTACACTCAGGGACGCAGAGTACAGCTTTCCAATTGGTCTACGGGAGACCATACCAAGGGCAGATTTTACCCTTCGGAGAGTATGTGTTTGGTCTGGCCAAGCCTGGAGGAGTGAAGAATCGATCCTTGTGGACAGGAGGAATATGGGTTGGAAAGGACGACCGGGACATGGACGTGATTACATCAAAAGATGGGATCTTTACGTCAAGATCTGTGCGGCGCACACAACCAGCGTGGCGCGCACGTGAGACCCTTCAACTTCAGGGTTCTCCTTGGACGAAGAAAGCCCCAAGGCTAGGGCACACCGCGCATGCGGCACCGTTACCGAGAATCGTGGAAGAACCAGGCAAAGAGAAAGAAGGAGGAGAAAATGAGCCAGAGCCAGCAGGAGATGAAGCAGGATCTGATGTGGAAAGTTCAAAGCATGACACAATCAGTGATCTATTGCTGAGCAGTGGTCAACCTACACCTCGAAGTTCATCAACGGATTCCAACCAAGGCGGGGGACAAAAGAGAGAAACTGAAGGAGAAGAAAGAGAGGAACCTGCGAAAGCTAGTAAAACAGCAGATGCTGAGGAGCCACCAACGAAGCAACAAAAGACTGCGGAAAGTTCACCTACAAGTGCTGATCCTGGAAGTCCGAAAGGAAGTCTATTTCCACCGTTGTACGCCGGACAGGTAGAAGAACAGGAAGACGAAACAGGATATCATGAAGATGACCTTTGGGAAGAAAGAGTCTGGAAGGAATGCGAAGAGGAATATGAAGCGGATAGTGAAGGAGAAGAAGAAGATGAGGATCGACCACCGAAAGTCAGCGAAGAGGAACTTGAAAGATTGGATGCAGAGGCAGGAAAAGCTGAACTTGACAAACTCGCCAACATGAAGGTTGTGAAGACGATCAAGAAGGAAGAGTGTTCAGAGGAAGGTAAGTTTCTGACACTAAGGACAGTTTTCGATTGGAGAAAGAGAGATGGAGTTTGGAAGCGTAGATGCAGAATTGTGTGTCGGGAATTCCGTGCGGGAGCCCAGAGCACGGAGGAGACTTTTAGTCCTACGTCAGGACACGCAGCAGTGCGAATGATGTTTCTTTTTCATCTCATCTACAATTGGGAGCTTACAGTTCTTGACATTCGTGACGCATTCTTGCAAGTCAAGCAGAAAGCTCTGATGTATGCTGATATCTCACCGTGGATTCGAACACTACTTGGTTTGGATGAAGACCATGTATGGAAAGTGGAGAAGTGTCTGCCAGGGCAAAGATCAGCGGCAGAACAATGGTTTACCCATTTGGTTGAGATTTTGAAGCGTTTGGGATTTGAGCAATTTGTTGGGATTTTGAAGCGTTTGGGATTCATTCGACGATACCCTCAATCTTGAAGCACCGAGTGAAGAAGATTGCAGTGTCGATTCATGTCGACGACGAGCTAGTTGCAGGTGCAAAAGGCGAAGGAAGATGGCTGATATGCGAGCTAGAGAAGTTTTTCAAGCTCACAGTTGAGGGACCGTTCCCATCCCACCGGGGATCGGGAGAACAGCTTCATTACCTGAAGAGGACCTATGAGTTCCTTGAAGAAGGAATTTTGGTGACAGTGTCGAAGAAGCACTACGAGAAGCTTAGAGGACTCTACAAGCTGGGGAACCGAAAGCCAAGACAAACCCCAGAGCACCAGCTGATTGGAACAGTGGACAATTCCAAAGAACTGGAGGAGAACGAGTGCAAGAAGTTTCGTTCAGCGTTGGGAACACTGTTGTACATTTCCCAAGACCGATGGGATTTACAGCATGTGACGAAGTGTTTGGCAAGTAAGATGTCGAAGCCAACGGAACAAGCGTTAACCTGTTTGAAACAAGCTTTGCTCTATGTGCAAGGAACAGAGCAACTGGGATTCCTACTGAAGTACACAAAGGTTGGAAACAAGATGATGGATGCGATCTATCAAAGAGAAGAGCAAGAAGAAGAAGACGAAGAAAAGAAAGGAACACACAGTATGGAAGTATTCACGGATGCAGATTGGGCATCAGACCGTGAAGCGAGATGGTCTACATCATCAGTGATTGTGTGTGTGAATGCAGTGCCAGTACTTTCGTATAGCAGGACCCAGAAAGCTACAGCTTTAAGTTCGGCAGAGTCCGAAGTGCTAGCATGCTCAGGAGGAGCATCAGAAGCGATGTTACTGAAGAAGTTGTGGATGTTTCTTGCAGGAAAGTTACTCGTGGAGATCCGGATGGATTCAAGTGCGGGAAGACAATGGATGATGCGAACAGGAGTCGGAGGACTCAAACATATCGATCTGAGAGTATTATGGCTTCAGCGAGGGGTGAAGAACAACAGCTTCAAAGCAAAGCCAGTGCCTACCAAATTAAACATTGCCGACTTGAATACAAAGCGCTTAGGAGTATCTCGAAGGAGATTTCTCATGTACCATATTGGAGCCATGGTGTGGAATGGAGAAAGTCATGAGCGTTATGGGAAAGAAGAAGCAATGGAACATGTGGCAGGTGAAGTTTGCCGAAGCCAAGTTCGAGCACTACGTGCAACTTTGTTGAATGAGCGAGGAAGCAAGACGGCTAGAGCGATGTACTTGACAATGATGGTGAATATGATTTCTCAGATTGCAGGACAGCCAGACGATTTTGGAGGACGAGAACGAGAAGAACGAGAATTTGTTTTCATCTATGTGAAGGAAGTGAGTGGATGGATTATTCTTTTCAGTGTGCTACTAGGAGGAATTTTCGCTTTACTCTTGTTCTACATGGTCGAGCAGAAGGTGAACGAAGGACGACAGGAACCACAGGAAGAAGGACCACAGGAACCACAGGAAGAAGGACCACAGGAACCACAGGAAGAAGGACCACAGGAACCGCAGGAAGAAGGACCACAGGAACCGCAGGAAGAAGGACCACAGGAACCGCAGGAGGAATTCACTATTCGAAGATTTGTGCAAAAGTATTGTCCGCCCGATGAGGATGATGTTCAACGTACAGCAAGGGCAGTCAATATGTATTTCCGTGATGCACCAGAGGATTCAGCGACAGGCAGTGGTAATGGGATGCCTGGAATCAGTACAGTACCAGCAAGCCAAATCCATGTGAATGACGAAGAGCTTGCAAGGCGATTTCAAGAATGGGGAATGGTTAATATCATTCCTATGGCACAGGATGTGGACGAACAGCTACGAGCACAACCCCAGTATGTGTACACGCCTCATGGCAAGAGGTACCACCGACCTACATGTGCAGATGTGCAAAGGTCAGAGAGATTCACTTACAGTGCAGCAGTGCATGCGAGATTGCACTACCGTCCTTGTGGCAATTGCAGGCCCGGGACCATGTGAGTGAATGATGGAATGTTTCACTTTTCCGTACAGTGTGAGCTACAACGAGTACAAGCTTACCTGAGCGAAGTGTTACCCACGAGGAAGCAGTGGGAACAGTTTTCACCGAGTGCAAGGACTCCAATAGGGAGAGCACAACGAGGCCATCGCACAATACCAGATGAGCCCAACGACATACCTGTACAGTTTCTACAAACCCGTTACTGTAGAGTGATGTTGAGCTTACAGTTCGCACAACATCAAGGCGGGGTGTAAAGTTTTTCTACTACCTGGGAACCCCACCTACCAACCCAAAAGGGTTGATGAGCATGTGTGGATTTGTGACTCATGTTTTACCGACAGCGCTTTTACCGGTTCAAGGAAAAAGAGCGACTTGAAGTTTAGCACCCCTCCTCCAGGGGAGATTCCAGGTCCCGGTTATGTCCCGAAGGCAGCTCCTGGGACAGTGTCTTTCAGGCTTGTTTGTATTTGGAAAGAAGCATGAGTGAAGCAGTTGAACAGACATGTTGCTGTGTGAGACTTGCTTGGTTAGGAGTGTGCGAGCTTGAAGGTCCCTTGAAGAGAAGCCCAAAAGAACTTCGATCTTCTCGGCAGTACCCTCAAAGATCCGAAATACCCTCAAGTCCGCGTTTAACTAGCCCGAAAGAACGTCGATCTTCTAAGCAGTACCCTCAAAGATCCGAAATACCCTCAAGTGTGAACCTCAGAAGCGCCACGAACCCAAACCTCCTGAACATGAGTCATGTCAGACCCCTGCCGGCCAGGAGTGCTTTGTTTTGCATGCCAGGAGAAGCATTGGATGTTTTCGCTTGCTTGGCGATCTATGTGATAGCAAGTCTCTTGGGGGGTTCGTTCTGGTTAGGGTTTCGATTCTTGAAGATGTGTTTGAAAAGGTTTCGAGGAGTTGGTGACTACCCTCAACTTGTATCCCGAAAGTACCGTTTACACCATCGTCGTAAAGGAGTCCGAGTGCGAATCAAGACTCGTTTCTGTTATGTTCGAGTTGATGTAGAACGTACTCTGGTCTTTAGCAGGCACGTTGTGAAACCAACTTGGAGCTCAGGTTTTAAAGCCTCTTTGAAGTTCGCATGTAAGGCCATGTGCTTGGGCCTTTGTCTCGACAGGAACTTGTGGAGCTTGTTGGTGTGCATGGCATGGTGTTGTGCTTGGAGTGTGTGTGGTTGTTGTTTGTTGAGAAGAAAGGGCGATGATGAAAAAGGGAGCAGATCCACTTCTGAGCACAGCCACTTGAGAGTTGTGCGTGGACTGCCCCTCCCCGGTAAGGGGACGCAAGCTGAGCCCTTAGAACTCGATAGTGACATGCCACGTTCTTCAGAGAGAGAAGAGAGAGGAGAAAAAGAGAGTCCGCTTCCGAAGCCTCAAGGTGCTGAACCACCTAAACCCCCGGAACCGCCTGGAGGTGCAGAAGTTTCAGATAGGATACCTCTGCGAAGTGTGGCTTTGCAAGTGCATAGATCCAGAGGTCATTTTCCTTATGATGTGAACTGTGAGGCCTGCACCTCGAGTAAAGGGAAGGTTCCTGCGAGACGCTTGCGAAGGCGTTTGCAACGCGAGGACCAGACGATTGGAATGGATTTCTACTACTTTGGTCGTCTTCGTGTGCTGCTTCTTGCACATTGTTCTTCGAACTATACCACGGCCATCCCGGCCATGAATTTGGATGATCCGGATCTGTTTTACAACATTGGACGAGTGATTCGCGAAATGGGTCTTGTGAATAAAATGGTCACAGTGAGATGTGATCAGGAGTCGGCTTTGATGTCTTTAGCCGAAAAATTGACTACCCGTACAGGTGATGTAGCTGTTTCTGGCGTCATTGTGGACGTCGTGCCCGGGTATCGCCCTCAGTCAAAAGGCGCTATTGAAAGACAAGTAGAAACTATGAAGCAGGGATTTTGGGCAGTGTGGTTAGACTTGGAGAGAGAAGTTGCGCGGAATTCCGCGCCGGAAGACTGGAACAAGAAGCTTCCGCTGGGAGGAATGCTCTGGCAAGCTTGTGTCCTTTACAGTGCCAGGTGCTACAACCTCTGGAGCTTTAGTCACCAGGACGTGACTACGCCCATTGACCGGCTGCACGAGGAGATTGTGCATCGTACGAGGACCCTGCCGTTTGGATGTCTTGTTTACGCTAAAGTAGGGGGCTCAAAAGCGCATCAACAGAAGTACAGGGGAAAGAAAACAGTGAAAGCTGTGTATCTAGGGCCTAAAGAGCCTAGAGGGGGCGGTATCTTTGCTGCTCCATTGGGTCAGACTGAGATCGATATCTTTCCTGTCTGTAGGGCCTTAGAAGGAGCGAAAGGTGAGCCTGTCTACGACGTAGGGGCCATACACGCTCTGTCTACTTCACAGCCTCATCATGTTTGAGCCACCACCTGACCCGGTGAAGTCAGAAGACCCTGACCCGGGGTTTGAAAACGAAGATGAAGAAATGGTACCAGATGATCCTGATCCTCTGAATGATATTCCGTCTTACGTGGAACCCACAGATGATGAGGGGGAAGGCGGACTTGGGTCACCGGAAATGCAGCCGGATGACCTGGAGGACATGGAAATTGACTGGCTAACTAACCATCTGTTAGAGTCTTTGTTCAAAGGACCGGACATTCTGGCCACGTCTAAAGAAGTAGCTGATTCGTTTACTCTCAAATTCGGAGGGAGTAAGATCAAGTGCCAAGTACCCCGAAACGCCGTTTCTGAGACCTCAGGTGAACAGTTAGGGCTTCGTAGCCATTTTGGCTCAAGAAATTTTTGGCTCAGCCCGAGAGGGCACTGAGAGTCAGATGAGCAAAATAAAAAGCCCCAACCGGGTTGAGCCTTAACAGGTTCGTCTTCAAACGGGCCTCGTGACGAACTGCATTTCGAGCCATGCCAGGTTTGCTCTGAGCTAAAGAGAGTATTCGTGTCCTCAGCTGGAAGACACTCCATGTTGTGTTACGGTTTTGACCAGTGTTTGAGGTGAGCAGTAGTGCACTCCGTTTTTCTGGGAGCTCCAGACTGCAGGGCACCTCAGTGTGACTGAACGAGCCCTCTGAGCTTATCCGGTGTGTCTGCACTTTGTTCGGTTTGTCATGTCATGTTAGTGACACGGAGTGTATGGGGAACGAGCATGCCGAGAAGTTTGCACCTCAGTGTGATTGAGCCAGTCTCTTGCTGTGGCCAATTGTACTTGATGTTGTTCTGGAGGACTTTGCGAGACAGTATGGAGCACATGCGAGGACAGACCATGGCAGTTGTCAAACCACGCCAGGCATTTGTGCATTGCCTCTATGCAAGACATGGTCATAACTTTACCATGCATTTGGGTACTTGCAACCAGTGCTGTTACCCTCTCATCTTCTTTTCTCAAGATTTTGGTCCGAGAACCTGTGAAACCCATGCCATGGCATTACATGCTGCAGCTCTCGAACACATGCGTGAAGGTTTGACGGAGTTTCTGCAGGAGCAGGTTCTGGAGGATTTTGGCATGCTTGACCCCAAGGGATTTGGATTCACGGAGAAGCAGTGGCAGGCCAGACTGGCCAGGCTCGTCGATCGTGCCCACCATAGAGCTCATCGATGTGGCACACCTGAAGCCCTCGTCAGCCTTGCGTTGCAGGACCTAAAAGGTGAACTCCTCCAGGCCTTCTTACATTTGTATGTTGAAGACCCAAATCCTCCTCATCATCTTCCTTGGTCTGCAGTCACAGCCACAGTGTGGCCTCAGCATGAAACCACAGATGCCGCACCCCCATGGACTGAACAGGTGCGTAGAGCGAATGGTGAATTCGAATCTTTTGTTCACCAGGAGTTTGCTCTAGATATTTCCAGTCCCGGGTCAAGCACCACAGGGACGCACGATCCGAATGCGTGCATCAGTGAGACTGTTACGGAAAACCACAGCCTCCGGCGTCTACAGGCGAATCCAGGTAGCTGCATTGACATTGATTGAATTGTTGCATAACTGAAAACAAGGTGGAGTGTGCTTGCTGCTGCATGTCGGTAGGACTATCAAGGCGCCGTCCCCTCAGTGTCCAGCGTTGGTATCGTGCAAGGGATACCTGAGGGTTATCCGTAGGTCCAGTCCTTACACTCATGAAGGATGGGAGCATTTGCTTGTTGAGAACTGAGTGTGGCTAGGGATTGGTTGACAGTGCACCAGCATCTTGTCATCTGTGCAGGAGAACAGCATTGGATGCTCGGCCCCTTACTAGAGTTTATGCAATAGACTCACGATGTCGACAAGGGTCGACCATCTAGGGAAGGCTCTCACAGAGAGAGAACCACATCAATAGGGCAGAGGCCCCAGTCCAAAGGGACTTAGCGAGCCACTGACGAATGAGAAGGAAAATCAGATGACAACAGACTCTGACAGTCTAAGTCTTGCTGCATTGACCTGTGTTCAGCTCAGCATGTTTCAGTTGCATCTCCCTCGGCTCGAGCGTTCCACAGGGAACCAACAGGATCGACAAGGGTCGGATCTCAGGGCAAAGGCCCTTAAAAAGAGAGTGGCACACCAAGAGGGCGAAGGCCCCAGTCCGAAAGGACTCAAGAATCATGTGGCCCATGATGCCATTTGGGTACGGACCCAATGTGCCAGCCCCCAGTCAGCCAAAAGAAAGCAGAAGGGGGAGGCGACGCAGGAGCAGCAGCTCCAGCGACGAGCGGAGGAGGCGTCGCTCAAGAAGCCGAAGAGGTCGAAGAGACCATGACAGGGGAAGCCCCTCCCAGGCCTCGTCCTCCGTGGCACAGGGGATGATTCAGGTGGATGTCAATCATTACACCGCCCTGGTGACCCAAGCGGCGCAGGCCCAAGCTGCGGCACAGGCCATGGCAGCGGTCACGGCCCCCCCGCACACTGCGGCGACACTGCCAGTATCCTACGGCTCTAAGGCTCAGAGCCAGTGGACGGCCAAGGATTCGTGGCAGTCCGACAAGTGGAAGAGCCAATCCTGGAAGCAGGGTGATTGGCAGCAGAAGAACAGATGGCCACAGAAGAAAGGGGGCGGAGATAAGTGGCCAAAGGGGTGGAACAAATGGGAGCGCGATGAGAAAGCCCCGGGAGAAGGGCAGGCGGCAACGCCTGGGATTCCCCTCACTTTTGGGCGGTCCTCGACCGACCCCTTGGACCTGCCGGATGCAGAAGAGGCCACGGAGGAGGACCTGGTCCGCCAGGCCCAGCGGGACGTTGAAAGGGAAGACCAAGCCTACTCGGCATCAGTTTGGAAGGACGCCATCGAGCGGGCGCACCTCTCGGCGGATCGTCCCCCGAGTGCCAGGGAATTGGTCCAGATGGGGCGGCTCAAAGACTTTTGGAGCATGACCTGGACCCAGGCGCGCGGAGAGATCTCGGCAGACTCAGTGGAAGCCTGCAAAAAGGCCCTGAACGAGGTTGCCATCTCCATGCCCGACCAGACCTTCCACAGGCTTGCAGCAGTGCTCGCAGCCTTCTTGGATGGAGGAAGATCCCCCATGGGCGAGGACGGCAAACTGCGTGCCATGCGCACCCGCATGCCGGGAGCAGAAGGGATCATCGTGTCGACCATGATCACCGGCCCCAGTTATGCCAAGTGTGAAGATCATCGGCATGACCTGGTCATGGCCCACGGCACCGGCTTTGTCCACGCGGTGGGCATCGGGCTTCACGGAGAGGTGTGCCCGAATGATTCCAAGCCGGACGACTACCCAAGTTTTGGGTTCAGTGGAAGGGGGACGCTGGAGGCGCCAGATCCTTCCACCATCGAGGCGGCCTTTCAAAAAACGGCCGCCCATTCCAAAGGCCAACAGGGCGTCATTTTCGTGTACCAGGGCGAGCTGGAGAAGCCCACCCACACAACCGAAGGTGGGGTGGCGGTCATGATGGCAGCCGTCAAAGACGTGGGCTCCGCGCGCAGCGGACAACACATCATCCTCCATCCCAAGCACGCAATTTTGCGCGCCATCGGCTGCACGTGGCCGGCCTAGATGCAGAGCCCCAGAACTTGGGCGCCAACGAGGGGTGTGTTTCCAGCCATGACAAGATCTGGCTGCCGAACAGTTTTGAAGCGAGGTGCACAGATGTCTGGAAAATAAGGGATTGGAGTCAGCCCTTGTTGTCACCTCCCCACCCCTCCGACAGTTGCAGATCCCAGACCCAGTGCAGGTTCAGCTCATGCGGCTTGCATAATTGTGTCTCTTGAGTTGGCTTGCAGCATGAGAGCCCTAGATGTCCCGTCGGAAAGCGACTCCGATGAGGCGATTGCGCCGGCCCTACCTGTGCAGGCTACACAAGACGGGGTGAGTGAGCATGTTATAGTTGAACAGGCAACTTTGCCCGTCATCAGACTGCCCTGGGAGTCGGGAGTTTTTCAAGAGATTTTTGCCAGGCCGTCGATCATAAGCGATGACCTGCCCACCCCCACCATGTATGGTCAAGCTGAACTTCAACTGAGGGAGATCTCGGCGCAACAGTCGGTGAAGCGCCAGTGCCGAGTAGTCACACCTGACAAGGCCATTTTCTTGCAGGCAGTCAGGCGCAAGCCCGACAGAGACTTCGACGAGAAGTGTGAATACGTCTGGGGCCGAGCTGTCAAACTCTGGCTGACGCTCATGCTAGCGTCACCCTCAGCCGGTAAGTTTGTCCAAAGTGTGTGCAGCATGGATGAGGAGGAAGCTCTCTCATCTATCAGAGATGTATTTGGTGTTAAGTCACCCCATACTGCACTGAAACGAGCCACATCTCTTATCAGATTCATGAAGTGGCTGAGACTAGGAGTAGACAGTCACGAACCGCTCATGCCTCCGGAGCCGATTCTTTACGCCTTCCTGAAGGAGCTGACCTGCAGGTCAACAAGGAAGCTGGCAGCTCTCGGGACGGTCCAAGCTTTGCGCCTAGCCCAGCATGTTCTAAGATGTCACAACTTGGAGGCGGTTTTGTCACCACGAGTGGTGGGTGCAGCAGACCGTTCTGCAGGTGAGCACTTGCCTCAAAACCAGGCCCGTGATTTGACGGTTAGTGAAGTGCGACAGGTGGAAGAGGCCATACGTGCACAGGATGCCGACCCGATCGACAGATTTGCTGCAGGGGTCATGTGCTTCCAACTGTTCGCAAGGAACCGCTGGAGCGATGTAGCGTGCATTGACAGCCTTTCCTTTGATGTCACAGAAGTTGCTGGACGACCTGTCGGCTACGTAGAAGCCAGGGCACGCCATGTCAAACAGAGCAGCCAAGCGAAGAAAAAGAAGGCGCTGTTCATGCCATTGGTGGCACCTATTCAGGGAGTCAGCCCCGACTTCTCTTGGGCGCTTGAGTGGCGTCATGCTGCTCAGCTAGCAGGCATTGATCTGACAAAGCGACCGCTTGGGGCACTGCTCCCGGCACCGGGACCAGAGGGATCCTTCCTCAAACGACACATAGACACAGCTGAGGCGTCGGACTGGCTGCATGGACTGCTCTTGAGGAGCGATCCCACCCGACAGCGCACCACGTCGCACTGTCTCAAGCACACGGTGCTGGGCTGGCTTAGTAGGTTTGGGATCCACGGTGAGACGCAGACTTTGCTAGCGCACCATAGCACAGGGCCCATGAGCGACCTAGCTTACTCTCGGGATGCGCTGAGTGGACCAATTCGCCAATTAGAACAGATGCTCCAACAGATACGTGAAGGGTCATTTCTTCCTGACGCTACCAGGAGTGGCTATTTTGTCAGGGAGAATGTTAGCGAGGCAGCTCCGTCCTGGAGCATGCTCAGTGAGTCACCAACTCTGGCCCGTCCGATGCCAACAACATGGGAAGGCCCCGACCGCATGGAGCAGGCCAGTGTCGAGGGGGAGGAGCAGCATGGAGCAAGTCAGCTTCGGACCGAAAAGAGTGGAGCCCACAACGGAAGGTGACACCCGAGACCACAGGCCAGAGGCGGCTGTAGAGGTGGATGTGGCCAACGGGACAGCTCAGCAGCCTGGAATTACAGAATCTGGCGAAGCACCAGAAGACGAGAGAGATACGGTTTGCTCGGGGGCCGGCCTCGTGGCAACCGACGTCTTATCCCCCGTCTCCAGCTCTGACTCAGACACTGCGAGCTCCACGTCCATGGAAGAGGAGACGTGCGACCAAGCCCTCCCCGACGGCTTTGAGGCACTGCGAAATGTCAACTCGACAGTCGTGCACCTGCACAGGCCAGGTGCGGTGTCTCTGAAGTTTGGTCCGGTTGTGACAGAGAACTTTTCTCGAGTATCCCATACTCTTGAAGGTTCAGTTTTGTGTAAGCGATGTTTTGCACAGGCATGATCGGTAAAACAAAGAGTGACAGAGGGATGTGCATCAGTGTCTGAAAAGCTTCAGCGTCGCCTCTCCGAGCTCTTGCCCGGGCCCGAGGTCAGAAATAGTGTCTGTCGAGCAATGGCTAGCGCAGCAGATTCGGAGGCTTTCTTCAAGGAACATGCGGCCAGAGTAGGTATGGCTGAGGACGTGATAAACAAGCTAGTCGCACAAGGGATCAAGACGGTCAGCCAGGCAGCTTATGCAGCGTCTCCGCCAGGACAACCGTTGACAGATGCATCGGTTGAAGCCCTCTTGACAAAAATAGGTGCTGCCAACCCAACTCTGGCGTTGGTGACCCAGGCGAAGCGGCTCCTCTTCGAATCGCAGACCATGGCCTTGTCTCATTTGAAGTCGGTTGTAGAGCAAAAACCGGAATCGATCGCTCGGCATATGCCTGGAGCTGAGCGCCATCAAAGGATGACGTGTCAGGCGACCAGGCTGGCGGGCATTGAGATCAAGAACGACCTAGAGCCGGCTCACTCCGTGTACGATGTCATAGCAACGATGGTGGAGCACAGCTCCATCAAGTACCTGCACCCATCGAAGATTCCGACTCGTCAGCAGGAACTGTCCCAAACGAAAGGGACTAAGGAGCTGGCGCTTGATACTTCAGGAGCCAGCCTCACCATTACGGAGAAGGCTTCCTCGGCGCAAGCAAAACTGGGCACGGAAATGGCAACCTACCGCGCCATGCAGAGGCGTGGCTTAGCCTTCGATTTGGTAGGTATCCTCAGCTACAAGGTCCACGAGAAGTGGTTGCAGAAGGCATTCAGCCGGCTGCAAGACCCGGCGATACCAGGTTACGCCCCAGTCTCCCTTGCGCAGGTCCTTAGGGCAGACAAGGCTCTCTGGCTGGTACTCGCCCAGGCGAGCATCAAACTCGAACGGGCAGCACCAAACGCGGACTTGGCGACTCCTCGATGCCTGGACGATGCCTTCACAAAGGCCATGGAGGCAGCGGAAGTTAGCTTCCCGCTCCTGCCTCTGCCAGCGAATGCGGAGGCGATCTTTCCTGGAAAAGGCAAAGGCAAGGGTTTCGGTGGCTGGAAGCGGCAGCTTCCATGGGACGGCAAGGTTGGTCAGCCGCAGAAACTTGCCAGATCCGAGTTCTGGGGAAAAGGAAGGAAAGGAAAAGAGAAGGGTGGCAAGAACCATGGCGGGGGCAAGGACCCGTGGGGTTCTAAGGAGGGTCGTCGCTGGAACCAGTGGACGCGGGAAGGCAAAGGGTCGCAGACACCTATGCCTTTCAAGCTGAGAGGTGGTGTGGCCGTTACACCCCAAGGCGAGCCTATCTGCTTCGGCGCCAACCTCGGTGAATGCCAGGACGCTCCGTTGGGAGGCAAATGCGCTAAGGGCTGGCACGTGTGCTGCCGACCCAATTGCTTCGGCAAGCATGCATTCATTGACCACCCAGGCAAGAAGGCCTGAGGGGCGATCATGCCTCCTGCTGTCGCGGATGATGACGCTTCGGCGTCGGAGAGCGATGGCAGCTTCCCGACCAAGGCACACCAGTGGGGTGAGAGAGCCTTGCCGGTTGTCAGCGCCTCAGACAAAGCTGCAGATCTTGACTCAGACAAACCTGCGATTTTCGACTCAATGTGTCACACTTCGGCCAACTCGAGTGCTGGAGAGGCACCCGACTGGAGCTTACACGAGGGTGTCATGAACAGTTTTTCTCCCAAGCAATTTTCAGCTCCCATTGAGGAGAGCTCTTTAGTTCAAATCAACGGTTCTGCGGTGGATAGTTTGGCAACGCCAGACAACTTGTCCGCTGATCAGCAACCAGCGAGCGATGCGACACACTTGCAGTGTGGGGGCCTGTCGTCGGGCGCGAAGCACATGCAGGAGTTTTGGTGCCTGGAGCTGTTCGCGGGCTCAGCTGGGATTACCGCCGCTATGGTGGCAGCTGGTCTTACAAAGAGCTTCGGTGTAGAATCCTCTCTGCGGCACGACCGCAAGGCGAAAGTACTTCGACTCGACATGCTCAAACCGCAATGCCAGAGCATGATCCTTAGGTGGATAAGATCACCAGGCTTGGCCCTGGTGTGGATGACACCCCCCCTTGGTACCAGCTCCAGGGCAAGGGAGCTGCCAGGGCCCCAGAACTCAGCGCCGCTTAGGGATGCCTGGCGCCCGGAAGGTGTGCCGACCCTGAAGGACGACGAGCTGCGTAGGGTTCAAGCAGCAAACCAGCTTTTCGGCTTCAGTGCGACAGTATGGCAATTGTGCTGCAGCCTGGGCATCATGTGTGTTATACAAAACCCGTACCGCAGTTGGATGTGGTTCGGCCAGGAAATGGTTGGCGTCTTGAGCATGGGATGCACCAAGGTGCTTGAAAGCCATGCATGCATGTTCGGCGCTGGACATAAAAGGCGCATGGCATTGGCAGTGAACAACGGCGCGTTCGATGCGCTTGCCCGTGAATGTGACGGGGCACACGAGCACGAGCAATGGAAGGACGAGCACGGTATCAGTCATGGATCTGAGGAGACTCTGCACCCAAGCGGACTCTGCAAGGCGGCTGCCCAGTGTGCAATAGGAGCCCTGCTCAAACAAGGTTTGTTGCCAGCGCCCCAGCAGACTGTCCAGTCAAGGAGCAGTCTGCCCTCAATGGCTTCACTGACTGCAGGCAACCGGACCAAAAGAGCAGCAGCCCAAAGGCTTGTCCCTGAATTCAAGGCCCAGTTCAAATCCAGGACAGCGAACTTGCTGACCAGCAAGGGATGGCATCCAGCGACAGCTCTCTGCCAACGGCCGCAATGGCTGCCCGCATCTCAGGAGGTTTTGATCAGCCCCCTGTCGGAGGACCACGAGGTCTACGTATCTGTTCCCTGGACATGTCAGGAGTTTTGTGCACAGGCGCGCAAGGTGGGTCACCCGAGTCATCTTGACTTGGGGCTCTCTGATCCTCTCAAGCGTACCACCGAACAGGTGGCTGCGGAGTCCCCCAGTTGCGTTATGCAGATTAGGGTACAACAGTGCAAGAGGTGGGCGCAGCGGGCTCAGGCATTGGAGGCCCAGGAAAGGATTGCCAAACAGGCCCTACCTAAGCATATCCGGGACTCACTCCGCAGCAAACGCATTCTTCTCTTTCAGGAGATGTTGAGTGCGTCAGCATATCCTGATAAAGCTATTGGAGAGGACTTTCTGAAAGGTTTCCCCTTGACAGGGAGCCTCCCCCTACCGGAAGGCTGGGAACCAGACGTTCGTCCAGCACTCATGACAGATGCGGATCTGAGTGCACTCCACTGCGACAACAATGACAAGATCATACAAGAAGTCGTCCAAAACAGCAGATTTGTTCAGGAACTATGGGATAAGTCCATTCAGGAAAGAGACAAGGGATGGTCACAAGGTCCTTACCGCCTGGCCGACCTACCCGAGGATGCGCTGATCAGCAAGAGGTTTGGAATCCAACAAGGCCACAAACTCAGGCCGATCGACGACCTGAGCCAGAGCCTTATCAACATGGCTTTTGAATCGCACGGGAAAGTTCATGTTCATGATGCAGACGTCATCACAGCAGCACTGCTGATGTTTCGCCGACTGCACAAGGGCAAGCTTTTTGGCAAAACGTTGGATCTCAAGGCGGCCTACCGCCAACTACCCCTGGAGGAGCAGGCGCTCGACAAGGCTTTCATCGCAGTCAAGTGCCCTGAAACAGGCGAGGTAGTGTTTTTCAGGCTTGCCTTTCGGTGCCACGGCAGCTGTACACTCCTTCATCAGAGTCTCCCTCGCCTTGTGCCACATAGGGAACGTCCTGTTTCGACTGCCTATGACCGCCTACTACGATGATTTCACTCTTTTCAGCAGCGAGGAGCTTCGTAACTCCACCTCGGCCACCGTCGACATCATGTTCTCCCTGTTAGGTTTCGATTTTGACCGAGACGGTGATAAGGCACAGGACCTGCACACGACTTTCCGAGCACTGGGGGTGCAATTTTCGTGCCTGGAGGACGAGGATCGGACTGTTCTTGTGTCAAATACAGAAGAAAGGCTTGAAGATGCAGTGGAAAAGCTTCAGGAGATCATCGAATCGGGTTCACTCACCCCCAAGTTGTGGGCGAAGATGCGCGGTCGTTTGGGTTTCATGAGCGGACAAATTGCCGGCAGACTTCCGCGAGCACTGTTGAGGGCAGTGACCGTGGCCGTGTCAGCTGCAGGGACCAACTGCAGCCACGGCCCTACAGAGAGTGTTGGAGTTCTTGAAAGGTGCGCAACCAAGGCGGCTCAGACCGGCACTACGAGACGTCATCTTTGTTTACACTGATGCATCGCAAGAGGGAGTAGACAACCTTGATATGGGGCTTGGTGCAGTGGTCCAGGACCACGAGGGAACCATCTTGGGGTGGTTTGGTCTGTTGCTCCCCCGTGACGTTGCTGAGGATATCTTGCGTGAAGGGAAGAAGTGCATCAATGAGTTAGAGAGTCTAACTGTAGCATTGACTGTTCGTCTCTGCGCGGCCATACTGCTACAGCGGCACGTGGTATTCTATCTCGATAACGAGGCAGCCAGAGTGACATTGCTTCGGATGCAAAGTGAGAATGCCATGCTTGACGCAGTGGCCAAAATCTCAGCTGTCCACGAATCCGAACTGTCCTGCATTCCATGGTATGCACGTGTGCCGTCGCGCAGCAACATAGCTGATGCGCCGAGTCGCTGTTGTTTCCTGGGTCTGCCCAACTCTTGCAGGATCAAGGACGATGTTACTGTGGAAGCATTGCGTGAGGTACTACGTCAGGCACGTCGCTTTGTTGCCCAGACTACTTGACCGAGGAAGGGATTTCTGTCTTCTTTTCTCCCCTTACCTAGGAGGGGTTTTTCGTGTTTTTGTACCCAGGAGACAGAAGACCTGCATAATGGACAGGTGGTCGATTCTGTACCCTTCCTCGGAAAAAGAGTTCGAATGGAGTGACTAAAGGAAATGAATATTCGAGAGGATGGAATACATTCATGGATGAATTTGGGAACAAAATAAGGGCTTCGTACTCTTGAGTACAAACCTTTATTTTGAGAGAAAATTTTTCACCATGGAATGCGTGAGAAATTTTTGGCTCAGCCCGAGAGGGCACTGAGAGTCAGATGAGCAAAATAAAAAGCCCCGCCCACCCACCCGGCAGTGAAGGTGTGATGCTGTTGCGGAGGACAGCCCGTCCGGTGCCTGACTCTCCCTTCCCGGGCCTGCAGCGCAGTGGCCCAAGCTAGTGCAGCCTGAGTTGCAATGGACGCGCCCCCTAGGATCACGGCCCTGCAGATGAGAGCCTTCGAGATTTGGGTTCGTACATTGAGTATGGACCAGATCGTCATGCTGGCCGAGCGCATCGAGGACGTCTTGGCAGATAGAGAGATAGAGATCCGTGAGCGATTGCAGGCCAGGCGTAACCTGTTGAATGCTACGCTATCAACAGCTGCGAGCTCGTCCTCCACGCCGCAAGAAGCCCAGCCTAGTGAGCAACGTCCGAGTTCTTCGTCTCGTGACCAGTCTTGGGAATTCCTTGACCCACAGTAGTCGCAATCCCTCCTGACGGTCAGGCCCGCTGACGACGACCATGAGTGTAAAAGATGGTCCGACACACTCATATGCGCTGCATTGTCCCTTGTCAGTGACAGCGAAACCTGCCTCAGCTCACCAAGTGCTCCACCTTCGATCGGCTGCGGGCTCAAACTGCACGATGTTCTTCCCGCCCATGTTTGTGCTAGCTAACATAGGAGAGTCACCTGTTTGACTGTGAGTATGAAGAGGGATGCTGAAGCTGCAAACCTTGAGGAGGGCACGAACCGCGAATCCAGGGCCCAATGGTTGGCAGTGATGGTCACCAATGTTCCGGTTGTGGAAGTTGTGCTCTGTAGAGTGGCGGCTACAGGAACAGTCGACGACATCAAGTTTGCGATTGCTGATGACATATGGCATCGCACCGGGCATGATGTGAGAACTTCCAGTTTTCGTTTGGAGCTGCAAGGGCGACACGTGCCCTTTAGCACGAACCTCAGTGACTTACCTTTCACTCCGGGAGCTTGCTTGCACTTCGTTTTCCAACTCAGCCACTGACAGGACGAATACTTAGGCGGAACCTCTGAGCTTAGACGGTGCGAAGTTTCACATACCCGACGGGGTTTTTCGTGTTTTTGTACCCAGGAGACAGAAGACCTGCATAATGGACAGGTGGTCGATTCTGTACCCTTCCTCGGAAAAAGAGTTCGAATGGAGTGACTAAAGGAAATGAATATTCGAGAGGATGGAATACATTCATGGATGAATTTGGGAACAAAATAAGACCCTGAACTTTTGTATGCTTCAATGAAGTTGGAGCTTGAGGAACTTGAGTCTTTTGGAGTAGGAAAAGTGATCTCTGAAGCTGAGGCCCGTAAGTCGGCGCGAGAGAGCGGTCGGAGGGTTCTCACGAGCAGGTGGGTTAACACGATCAAACGTAAAGGTCTTTACCGTTCCCGCCTCGTTGTTAGAGATTACGCTTCAATGGGAGGCACGACGCTTTCAGAAGGCATCTACAGCCCGACTACGAGTTTAGAGGGTTTAAGGCTTCTTTTGGCATTGCTTTGCAAGAAGGGCTCCGTGTTGAGCTGTGACGTAAGCGTGGCTTTCATGCACGCTGCAGTGTCAAGGCCAGAGTACGTAGAGCTCCCAAACAATGTGAGTATTGCGGACTCTTCTGTTCCCCAAAAGGCAGGAAACAAGAAGGTGTATCTTCGTCTTCACAAAGCGATGAACGGATTGAGATCGGCACCGCTTTCTTGGTATAAGGAACTGAGTTCGTACTTGGAGAAGAGCGGATTCAGTCCAAGCCTGGACCCTACGATATACCGGAGGAAGACGTCGAAGGGTCTGACGTTGGTACTGTTCTATGTAGACGATTTGCTGATCTACTCCGAGGACCCCTCGGAAGGGAAGAGAGTTTTCGAAGGACTGCAGAAACGCTACAAGCTGAAACTGACTGGAGAGCTTCCTGAACATGGTGCGGGGGAAGTTTCCTTCCTAGGTAGGAGAATCTTCCGACGTTCCGGAGACAAGCGCGTCTATTTCGGGCTAGATGGCAAGTACCTAGACGCGTGCTGCTCTGAATACAACATAACCAAACCGAGCCCCAAACTCCCGTCGCTTGAAAAGCGATACTCCGACCTGGTTCGTAAAGGGCAAACTGAAAAAATCAGCCCAGCTGCGCACGAAAAGTATCGTAGAACCCTTGGTCGGCTTGCATGGGCAGCCCTCTCCCGACCGGACCTGCAATTCTGTTGCGGGTTTTTGGGCCGGCACCAGGCGGCGCCAGACGAGGCTGCTGAAACGTGCATGAGAGACGTCCTTAAGTGGATAAAAGGGCTTCCGCACCGAGTACAGGTGTTTCCATCAACTCGGGAGATCCTGGAAGATGATGCGGATCCTCAGGCGGTTTCCTGTTTTACAGACGCAAGCTGGAGTTTGAATTCGGTTAGCGGTGGTGTGATTACTTGGGAAAACTGCTGTCTGAAGACTTTTAGCAGAAAGCAATCAACCACAGCCCTGTCCAGCGCTGAGAGTGAGCTTGCGGCGCTCACGGAGATAGCCAGGGAAGGTCTCTACATTGCCCTCTTGACAGAGACCATCTTGGAAGGCATTCCGCAGGACAGGGAGACCGGTTACTATCTCTTGAAGGGTTACTCTGACTCTGAAAGCGCGGTTTGTATCTCAAAAATGGGAACATTGCTGAGGAAAGTTCGCCATATAGAGTTAAGAGCCGCATTTCTCCAGGAACTTGTGGATCGTGGAAGGTTCACGATTGAGCACATACCGGGGGCCATCAACCCCGCAGATGCTCTAACGAAAAGTCCCACGAATGACAGTTTGGCAAGCTTGTGTGAGGCTTGTGGCTTGACCACCGAGCCGGTTGGCTGGGAAGAAAAAGCTTCAGGCACTAGCGTTTCGGTTACCTTTAAAGAGCCCAATACCTGCGACGAAGTGCTCGCAATTCCGAGCTCGTGGAAGGACGAGGCCTACAGAGTTGCTTCCGGGGAGGCCACCATGGTTGTCTTGGAACTCTGTTGCGAAGAGGAAAGCGCGATAGCCCAAGCTTGTAAGCGGGAACGTGACATCGCGTACTTTGGAATCACCAAGAAGCTAGACTTGCTGAGTAGAGAAGCTTCTTTGTTGCTAAAAGGGATTCTGGAAAAGATGGCTTCTAACGAAAGAATCTACGTGTACGCACATTTGTCTACGCCGTGCAGCGCAGGTAGTGGCCTTAGGCACCTGCGTTTCTCAAAGGACGTGAAGAACCGGGCGAGATGGAGAGCTAGTCTGGAGGTACACAAGAAGTCTTGGAGACGCATACGAGCAGTTTTCCAGGACTATGCTGGCCACGAGAGGCTCCTCCTCTCCCACGAATGGCCTAAAGGGTCTGGCCTTTGGGGAGAAACAGTCTACAAGTCGACAGCGAAAAGACTGGGACTCGAGCACGAGTGTTTGGTAGACCGGTGCTGTTTCGAGGAAGCTGGCAACCGTATCCTGAAGCATTGGTGGTTCGTCAGTTCGGATTCAAGTTTTATCTGGACTTTATCCTCTTGTGTTTGCCCAGGCAACCACGAGCATGCGAGTGCTTCTAGCATAGCAGCGACAGGTGTTTATCCGCAGGGCTTAGGCCGCTTCCTGGTGAAAGAAGCCAGGAGAAGTCTCGAAAGACGAAAGAAGGACTGACCGCGCAATAGGCATGAGGGGGTGTGAAAATATGACATTTCCGTAGCCATTTTGGCTCAAGCTTTCGGCTCAACCCCGGTGGGGTGCCTTTGGTAGGGAGTTGGTAGCTGTCAACGAGCCTCGGGGCCCAAATCTGCGTGGGGGAACAGGCCCTTGGTCCAATCCCAGCTTGTCCAACTTGTGCCATGGCTGAGCTTAGGGTGTTCGCCTCCCTTTTGTCTCCACGGTCAGGAACCGCTGCTCACCGTCGGGGGTTCGCCTCCGTTGCAAGGGTGCATTGCATCCTAGGCCAGTCCCAGCCGGCGGGACGCAAGTTCCGGAGCGGGTGGCAATCTCTCGGGGGGGCTCACCTCCAGGAAAGCTTGAGTTTGAATAAGCACCAGCGCTTGGTGCCCCTAAACTAACTGCTTTTTCCCCAAAGTTTTGCTTTGTTTTCCTTTGCCACTTTGCACTGCTTGCAGTCATGCATGCCGCTGCATTCCTGAGATCATGCCGCCCACTGGCAGGAGAGCAGATGGGGGCAAGGTCTTCGCCAATGGTCACTTTTGGTTGTCTCTTGGGTTTAGGATTGCATGCATGCTTGGCGCTGGCAAGTTTGGTGGCAAGCGTGGGGACCATCCTGTGTGGTTGAGGCTCCTTAGGGGGTCCCTTGGCTTCTTTGGGAGGGTTTAGGGTGTTGTTGAGGTTACCTATGTGTGGGCCACAAGTGTGCTGCCACCTCTGGCTATACCAGTACCATAATTACTGAAATTTTGTGCATCAACTCAGGCGCTATGCGCTCTGGACACGCAGGAAGCACTCATCTCTCCAGCCTCTGGGAGGATCTTCCTCAGCGCCCAGGTCCTCCACTAAAGGGCCATGCAGTTACGTCCTTGAGTTGGGGGGCCAGCCCTGCCACCTGTGCAGGGTTTTGGAACAAGTGCAGGAGTTGCTACGGGCTCTTGCCTCCCTATCGCTTGGCGTTGGCAGAACCAAGTGTGGGATCCTCCTCTTACTTGTTGTTTTATAGTTTCGGGCATGCAGGTACCCAGGAGTGTCCAGACCGTGGGTCCTGCCTGTGCTGCAAGCCAAGGCAACAGTGGGTGTGTTTCATGGCTGGTGCGGCGTGGTTCCCGCGCTTGTTGAGGGGAGCGTCGACACCTGCGCGTGTGTAGGGGTGCGTTTGCCCTCGCGCTTAGTTTGACGGCTTAGCACCGGCCTTGACGCGCAGTCACCTAGGTTTGGATCTTGCAGTTGCCCAGGGTGGTTGGTTGGGTTTAAGGTCACCTTTGAGAGCGTATACCGGCCCACTTCGCCGGGGGCCTTTCCCAGCCACAATGCAAAGGCAGTGCGCGCTTCTCTGTCTTCGCGCAGACCCATTCATTACAGTCCAGGCACCGTTTTCTGTCCTTTTACTGCCAAACAAGTCGTTCCTGCTATTTTGGGGTTTAGGATGACACGCTGAGCCCCAAATAGCAACATGATGTTGCTGGTATAGGAATTCGCCAAGATTTTTGGCCAGATTTCCTTTTCTGCACAAAATCATTGAAGTTGGCCCGCCAGCATCAAAGATCTTCGACATCGAGTCGAGCGTGCATTGCAGGGCCAAATAGCAACATTACGTTGCTGGTATAGGAAATCGCCAAGGCTTTTTTGGTCAAATTTCCTTTTCTGCACAAAATCATTGAATTTGGCCCGCCCGCACCAAAGATCTTCAACATCGAGTCGAACGTACATTGCAGGGCCTGGACGCTGGCTATTCCTCCCCGCTGGAGGTAAGTTTGGCCAACATGTGGCCTTGATGGCCACTCTGCTGCCCGTGGCATGCACGCGAGGGCAGTGCTTCCACT